TAGGAGCACATGCATGTCTGGTTTCCTTGGACCCTTGGATCTGGAGTTATAGAAAGTGCTCTTAATTGCTGAGCCACCTTTTTAGCAGAAGAAATATATTCTTTTTTTTTTTTTTTTTTTTTTTTTGGTTTTTCGAGACAGGGTTTCTCTGTATTGTTTTGGAGGCTGTCGGTCCAGCCCGGCCTGGAACTCACAGAGATCCGCCTGCCTCTGCCTCCCGAGTGCTGGGATTAAAGGCGTGTGCCACCACCGCCCGGCTTAAGAAATATATTCTTAAAACATGTTTTAAGAGCCGGGCGGTGGTGGCGCACGCCTTTAATCCCAGCACTCGGGAGGCAGAGGCAGGCGGATCTCTGTGAGTTCCAGGCCGGGCTGGACCGACAGCCTCCAAAACAATACAGAGAAACCCTGTCTCGTAAAAACCAAAAAAAAAAAAAACAAAATCATGTTTTAAGCCGTACATATGAGTAAAATCTTAAGGGCTGCACCCACAGCGAAGTAATGGTTTCAAGCAAAAATCGTCAATGGATGTTAAAACCACCCAGTACATGATTGTTATTACATGGATTATCTCACAAAATACTGATTTTTAAAAAAACTTTATTCCCCAAAAATCTATTTATTATGCATACAGTATTCTGCCTACATGTATGCATGTGTGTCATAATAGAGCACCAGATCTCATTACAGAGGGTTGTGAGCCACCATGTGGTTGCTGGGAATTGAACTCAGGACCACTGGAAGAACAGTTAATGCCCTTAACCTCTGAGCCATCTCTCCAGCCCCCAAATACTGATTTTGAAAGGGAAAAACCTTATGATGGAGCAATCTGGATGTCACCCAGGGATCCAAGTTCAAATCGTAGGTCTGGAACAACTGACATCAGGTGGTGCTGTGCCTATGCTTTTAACCTGAATACAATAATAAGGAAAGCTATCAAGATACAGAACATTCTACAGGAATACTGATCTAAGCTGATCGGTGGTGGTGCACGCCTTTAGTCCTAGCACTTGGTAGGCAGAAGCAGGCAGATCTCTGAGTTAGAGGCCAGCCCAGTCTACAGAGAGTTAGTTCCAGGACAGCCAGGGCTACACAGAGAAACCCTGTCTCAAAAAAAAACAAACGAACATACAAAAAGAATACTGGTCCAATCTTAAGAAAATCAGCGTGATAACGTTTATAGAGACGGCTGAATATCAGCTTTTTGTCACCTGCTTGGGCTACTGTGCTAGGGACTGAAGCCAGTGGCGATGCCACTGACCAAAATCTCTAGCTCTTAGTGGAGGGTAACAATGTAATGCGAAGAAATTAATCAGTCGGGAAGCCCACCATGCTGCCATTCATGTGGGCAGAGGGCAGGCGCTCCAGGAAGCACAGCGTCAGCACTGTGGCATGATGGGAGAGAAAGAAGCAAGCCAATAAGTGGTGGAGAAATGGAGGGCGAGCAGCCTGCATGCTGTGAAGTGAGGCGGACCTGGAGTGGTGAGGGCAGCTCCCCTTCTCGTTCGTGGGGAACGGTGAATTACGCTGCCCATCAACTGAGCCAGCAACTTCCGGAGCCTCATCCTAGCCCAGGAAGAAGAGCAGTTATCTGCAGAATGGAGACCCACAACTGACGGGACGTGTCCTGCTGGGCTTACCTCTCATCATTGGCCCATCAGCCTTGAGACTGGGTGACTCCATGTTGAACTGCAGTTTTACCGTGCTAACCTTGGCCAGAGATTTGTTTGCTTTGGGAGCTTTGGGTTGGACAGACCCTTGAAGACGCCCAGAGGCCCCGCCCACCGCAATGCAGAGTGGGCGGGAAGAAGATACCCAGAGACCCAGCGTGTGGCCCACCTGCAGCATGAGCCACTAAGATGCGCAAGAGATGGGAGAGAAAGAACTGTTCGAGCGCTATAGAGAGAGACAGATCTGAAGATTGAAACGTAGGGAGGAACAGCCTGATGTGAGCACCTTGCGAAGCCACCCGAGACTACGGTGAAGTCCCAGCCCATGCTGCTGTTGAGGGCCATGTCTGAGTCCATGACCATGCAGCAGCAGGGGTTCGTGTCCATGGCCAAGGCCCATGCCACCAACAGAGGCCTTGTTGCTGTCCCTGGTCTGGAACCATGTTGATATCCAAGGGCTGCATAGAGTTGGCGCTGCCCCTCCCTCACTGGAGTGCATGCCTTGCACCTCACCTGGACAGCACAATGGGGCTGACCCTGTGGGTAGACATGGGTGAGCCGGCCCTGCCCCTTGCTTGCCTGTGGCATTGGGTGGGCTAGGCAGGGCAGTACTAGAGAGCACCCCCTGGTGGTGAGGACGAGGGACAGCAGGCAGGCTGACCAACCAACCCAGCAACCACCCAGACCCGGAAACAAGACTGTGAGTTGGCCCGTCCCAGCATCCACCCCGTCTGTGATCTGCTGCAGCACGTGAAGGGGCGGGCCCTGCGGATCCAAAGCTGCAGGATCTCCATGACACAACCCAACAACAGGACATCCAAGAGGAGTCCCCGTGAGGGCCCAGGATTGATAGCGTAGCAGACACCAGAGACCTCAAACTAGGCCAACGGCTCCTTGCAATGAACACTTGCAAGTAAGGATGTATGGACTAAAGGGTGTACCGTGTGACTCGCTGTGACACACTACAGCTTCCAGTCCAAGACTTTTTTTTTTAATTTAAGTTTATTTAGGTGAAGCCGGGCGTTGGTGGCGCACACCTTTAATCCCAGCACTCAGGAAGCAGAGGCGGGCGGATCTCTGTGAGTTCGAGGTCAGCCTGGTCTACAAAGTGAGTTCCAGGACAGCCTCCAAAGCTAGAGAAACCCTGTCTCAAAAAACCAAAAAAAAAAAAAAAAAAAAAAAGTTTATTTAGGTGAGGATGTTGCAAGGGCAGAGGGTAAATATAAAGGAATGGGGAGATGAATGAGATTAGGCGCACGATATGAAATCCACAAAGAATCAATAAAAGTTTTAAAAAATGAATTAATCAGGGTCTAAGCGGGATGGTTTGCACCTTTAATCCCAGCAGTGTGGAGACATAGGCAGGTAGATGTCTGTGACTTCAAGGCCAATGTGGTCTGATATATAGTGAGTTCCAGGCCACCCAAAGCTACATCGTAAGACCCTTTCTCAAAACAAAACAGTTGATCCGTCCAGGTAGAGGGCACATAGGTTATTTTTTGTAGTGTTTGTTGTTTTTACTTGTGTGCATGTTTATGGTTGTCCTTAGAGGCCAGAAGAGTGCATTGGGTCTCCTGCAGGTGGAGATACAGGCAGCTGTAAACCACTAGACCTAGATACTGGGAACCGAACACTGCTTCTGGAACAGCAGCAAGTGCTCTTCATTGCGGAGTCATCTGCCTAGCCCTGGGATTTGTTCTATTTATACAAAGCCTTTTATGTAGCACTTTTTTGTTTTGTTTTGTTTTGTTTTTTTGAGGCAGGGTTTTTCTGTGTAGCTTTGGAGTCTGTCCTGGCACTCACTCTGTAGACCAGGCTGGCCTCGAACTCACAGAGATCCATCTGCCTCTGCCTCCCGAGTGCTGGGATTAAAGGTGTGCAGCACCACTGCCCGGCTCAGCCCTTTGTTTTTATCCAAGCAGAAGGGGTTTTGCAGATTATTTCACTTAGGAGATTGTTTTTTACTTCAATTTAATAATACTGTAATCCTGTAGGTTGTTTGAATAAACTGTTACTCTTAGGTAAAATCAGAACACTGGTGTGTGTGTGTGTGTGTGAGGGGGGGGGAATCCTGAGCCTCATGTGGTAAACATGCTCCTTATCTCCGAACCATAGCTCCATCCCTATAGTTCATTTTTCTTTTTGAGATGTGGTTTCTCTATGTAGCCTTGACTGTCACTTTGTAGACCAGGCTGGCCTCGACCTTGCAGAGATCAACTGCTTCTGTCTCCTAAATGCTGGGATTAAAGATGAGCACCACCACCATCTGGCTGAACACATTTCTTTTAAATTTTTGTTTGTGTGTATGTGTGTGCTTATTTGTCTGTGTGTGCACTGTGTGTGTGTGTGTGTGTGTGTGTGTGTGTGTGTGTGTGTGTGTGTGTACAGACCAGAACAGGGTCAAAACCCTAGAAACTGGAGTTACAGGCAGTTGTGAGTCACCCATTGTGGTACTGAGACCCCTGGGTTCTCTACCAGAGCAGCCAGTGCTCCTAAGCTCTGGGCCATCTCCCCAGCCCCCCAAATTCCATTTTTGAGTGTTAGGAGAATTAGGCATTTCTCCAACATGTCTGAAATTACTGGCAGCCTGAGCTAGGTATAGGGTCCCAACATTAGGACAGCTGGGATGACTGGGGAACTCTTGGTTAGGAGTTAATGTTTGCTTCAGTAGCAGTTCCTAGTTGCTGGATTCTACTGTTGTTTCTGTCTTACCAAGATTACAAACAATCTCTGGGGCAAGTCATTCAGGGGAACTTTGTAGGCCTAAGTACCTCTCTTTGGAGTTCTGTGAAGCACTGACTCCAGGCCTCTTGCTGCTGCTGTTGATGATGGTGGTGGTGGTAATGATGATAGTGATGATGATGATGATGATGATGGTGGTGGTGGTGGTGGTGGTTGTGATGATGGTGTTGATAATTATGATGATGATGGTGGCAGTGATGATAGTGATGATGGTGGTGATGATGGTGATGATGTTGGTGATAGTGATGATGATGTTGGTGATGATGATGGTAATGATGGTGATGATGATGGTGACAGTGATGATAGTGATGATGATGGTGATGGTGATGATGATGATGGTAATGATGATGATGTTGGTACTGATGATGGTAATGATGGTGATGGTGATGATGATGATGATGGTAGTGATGGTGATGATGATGATGTTGGTGATGATGATGATGGTAGTGATGGTGATGATGATGATGATGATGGTAGTGATGATGATGATGTTGGTGATGATGAAAGTGGTGATGGTGATGATGGCTCAGTGGTCACCCCCAACCACAACTAAGGATGAGCTCATGTGGTGCTTCTTGTTGGTTGCAGCAATAGGAAATGCCTTTGCGGTCCTGAGCAATCCTGACAAGAGACTGCGCTATGATGAGTATGGAGATGAGCAGGTGACTTTCACTGCTCCCCGAGCCAGATCTTACCATTATTACAGGGATTTTGAAGCTGACATCTCTCCAGAAGAACTATTCAATGTCTTCTTTGGAGGACATTTTCCTTCAGGTTAGTTTCTTCCTTTTCTTTTTCTTTTTTCTTTTTTTCTTTTTTCTTTTTTCTTTTTTTTTTTTTGAGTTTTGCCTGCATGTCTGTCTGTGCACCTAAGTGTGGCTGGTCAGAAGAAACAGCAAGAATTTGGAGTGAGCTGAGTGGAAGTTTGATGAAATCTCTAGCCTCCAGCTATGCAAAATTTTGACCATCATCAAAATTCTGAAAAACGGGGCTGATAATTCAGAGTTTCTATGAAATAATATAACTATATATTGCAGCACAAATTCTAGACAAGACAGAGCCTGAGTGCCCTGGCTGGTTTTGAACCCTTGTGTAGCCCAAACTTGCTGTCCTCTTCTCTCAGCCTTGCAAGCAGCTATGACTGTAGTCTACGCTCCCAGGCCTGGCTCAAGGACTAAGGCATGCCACAAAATACCTTTTATTAACGTCATTATGACAGAATTGCAAAGAAAAGTTAGACGTCCCCCTACGACAAATAATCTTTGGGAAAAGAGGGGACCATGGAGAGGGGGGACAAGATGACATAAAGGAGGGAAGTGAGCATGGTCTAAGAATGTGAGATGCTCGAGGCCAGGCTGGACCAAAAGCCTCCAAAACAATGCAGAGAAACCCTGTCTTGTAAAACTAAAAAAAAAAAAAAAAAATGTGAGATGCCTGTATAAACATATAACATGGGGGCTAGTGAGATGATTCAGCAGGTAAAGGCTCTTCCCACCCAGCTGGAAGACTTGAGTTTGATCTCTGGGACCCAGTGTGGTAAGAAAGAAACAGTACCTGAAAGTTGTCCTTTGACCTCCATACATGTGCTTTGTATGCATTTATACATGTACACACATGGGCATGTACACACACACAAACACAATCTAAAATAAATAATGTAACATTTTCAAAAGTTCTGCCGGGGTAGTGGGGGGGGTACATGATTTTAATCCCAGCACTTGGGAGTCAGAGGCAGGCAAGATCTCTGTGAGTTCAAGGCCAACCCACAAAGATCTGCCTGCCGATGCCTTGACTGCTGGGATTAAAGGTGTGTGGATCCACGCGCAGCAACATAAAATAGGTCTTTCAACGTTTCACAAAAACACATAAACTTGGGGTTGGAGAGATGGCTTAGCAGTTAAGAGTACTTGTCCATGCAGAGCGTTAAGCCGGAAATCCTGAAGAGACTGACTGATGCGAGTTAGCAGACAGCTGCAGCACTAATAATAGCAGAGAGGAAGAGACCACTCGCTAGAGAAGGGGGTTTATATTGCTGCCAGGCAGGAGGGCGGGGCTTGGGGGAACTCCAAACCTGCCTAGCTACAGCCTTGGGATTGGCTCAAGCCCTCCAAAACTGCATGGTTATAGCCTTGGGATTGGCTCAAATCCTGGAGTTGGTCACATGTTTCTGATTGGTGCCTCCATGCTAAGGGGCAAGCCCTGCCTTGCTGACTGGAAGAGGCTGCCCCTGCTGAAGTCAGGGGGACATGGGGACACCGCTGGCCCGGGGTTACTACTTCCCTAGGCTTAAGATCTGTGGGCATCATGCCACCAGACTAGAGGGTAGTACTTCCCCAAACTGAGGTCCTGTTTTGCGGTTGTGCCTCTAGACTAGCGGTCACGACCCTAGTTCCCTAAACCAGAAAGTTCACACCCCCTCGGCTGAAGGTTACTACTTTATTGCTCAGGGATTGGTCAGTTTTCCCTGCTCGGGGATTGGCTGGTTTTGTGGCAGGCGCAGAGATGGCTACGGTTTCAGGGCTAAACTCTGTTTCTATGGTTCTTTTTAGTTTTTAGGCTCTAATTTCAGAGCCTGCGCAAATTCTAATCTAGGGGCCAGTGTGTTCTTTTTTTGGCACTAGTTTTGGAGTTAGGGTGTTTTTTCCCCTGGCTCTAGGCTTAGGGATAAAGAGTCTCTTTCTCTGGCTCGGGTCCCAAATCGTGGGTGTGTTTCTTTTACTCGGTTGGGGCTTGGGGCCTAACCATTAAGGGTCTGTGTAGGGACTGTGGATCAGGGATTTTCTGTGGCCTGGTTCTCTTAAGAGGGCCTGGGTTTTATTTCCAACACACACACACACACACACACACACACACACACACACGCATGCGTGCACACACATGTATGCATGCATGCACATACACAGGCATGCACGAACGCATGCACACACACACACACACAGACACACACACACACATTGCATCACAGGTGCGGACATGACCTAGAGTAGTATTATGTCTGAGGTCGGGACCGTGCTCAGTCTCTTGGTTCCAGTCGGGTCACAGAAAGCAGCCTGGGTGGATCCTTGAAGCGGAACCTGCGGCGGTCATCTGTTTCCTATGTAAGTGCCTTCTCCCCAGATAAAATTATATTAACCTATACTGAGCCTAGTCCAGTGAATCCTGATCCACGTGTCCACACCTACACATATACATAAAAATAAATCTTTTTAAAACTCACAGTAAAACCGTTTTCTTTACAGTCAATATGTGCAACAAAACAGAAAAAAAGCCAGAATTTGAGAAAATTCAATGCCAAGAAAATAAGTTCATTTTTTGTGTTGCGAGGGATACAGCCAGAGCCTCCAACATGCTAGGCATGTATCCCATGCTAAGCTATACCCCAGCTATAAATTGAATTTTCCTTTCAAGACAGGGTTTTTCCGTGTAACAGCCCCAGCTGTCCTGGAACTCACTATGTAGACCAAACTCAAACTCAGAGATCTTCCTACCTCTACCTCCCTAGTGCTGGGATTAAAGGCCTGTAGCACTACTGCCTAGCTATAAATTTAATTTTATAAGTGACTATTAAAGATGCTAGTGACTGGGCTGGAGAGATGACTCAGCTGTTAAAAATCACTGACTGCTCTTCCAGACATCCTGGGTTCAATTCCCAGCACCCACATGGCAACTCACACCTGTCTCTAACTCCAAGATCTGACATCCTCACGCAGACATACACGCAGGCAAAAAAGCCAATGCATATAAAGAAAAAAGAGATGTTAGTGACTAATAGTAGACACAGAAGCAGACATAAGTGTGTCAGATGGGACTCATGACCAAAGTGCTGTCCTCGGGCCTTTTGGAGTTTTCTCCCATAAACTTGCAAAGTACTGGTCCTCGAAGTCAAAGAGCCCTGCCCACGCCATGCCCAGCTGGGCCCCTTGGCTCACTCGCTGCTGTCTCTTTCTGCTGGCTCAGGTAAGCAGATGCCCGGTCTTTAGCCTCCTGGGGGAAGACTTTGAAAAGGACCAAAAAGGAATTGCCATCTCATAACCATTCTCTCTCTCTCCCCCTCTCTAATGTCTGTTTTCCAGGAAATATTCACATGTTCTCAAATGTGACAGATGACAGTCACTATTATCGCAGGCGGAACCGCTATGAGAGGACACAGACACACAAGAGAGAGGAGGAGGACAAACCTCAGGTGTGTGTGCACCCGAGATCACACATGACCACAGTGAGTCTGTGTGCACCCGAGATCATACACGTGACCACACTGAGTCTGTGTGCACCCGAGATCACACATGACCACAGTGAGTCTGTGTGCACCCGAGATCACACATGACCACAGTGAGCCTGTGTGCACCCGAGATCACACATGACCACAGTGAGTCTGTGTGCACCTGAGATCATACACGTGACCACAGCGAGTCTGTGTGCACCCGAGATCACACATGACCACAGCGAGCCTGTGTGTACCCGAGATCACACACGTGACCACAGCGAGCCTGTGTGCACCCGAGATCACACACGTGACCATAGTCTGTGTGCACCCGAGATCACACGTGGCCACAGCGAGCCTGCTCCTCCTCCTGTGGGGGTAAGACACCTGCTCATGTGTGGCTGTATCAAGCCTGCTCCTGTGGTATATAATCAGTTCTAGAAGTGCAATTGAGCTGTGTTGGTAAAATGTACTTTAAGCAATGATAGAAGAGCTGGAGAAGTGACCCTAATGGGCCAGAATGTTGATAATCCTCCACCCCTGATCCCTTTTTTGTGTTTTCCTAGGGTCCCAGTTTTCCTGTAAGGCTGTCCTCTCTCTCTCTCTCTCTCTCTCTCTCTCTCTCTCTCTCTCTCTCTCTCTCTCTCTCTCTGTCTCTGTCTCTGTCTCTCTCTTTCTTCCTCTCTTCCTTCCTTCCTTCCTCCTTCTTTCCTTCCCTCCTTTCTTTTTTAAGTTCTTTATGTTTCTGACAAGTTCTCTCTATGTAGCTTTTGCTGGCCTGGAGCTCACTATGTAGACCAGGCTAGCCTGGAACTCACAGAGATCCGCCTGCCTCTTCCTAAAGTCATGTGCTATGTCCAACTTCTGGGGCTGTCTTAATTGAACTTTTCTTTACTACACAAAATAAGAGTCCTGGCAGGGTGATGGTGGCGCAAACCTTTAATCCCAGCACTCGGGAGGCAGAGGCAGGCAGATCTCTGTGAGTTCTAGGCCAGCCTGGTCTACAGAGCGAGTGCCAGGATACGCTCCAAAGTTACACAGAGAAACCCTGTCTTAGAAAAAAAAAAGAAAGAAAGAAAAGAAAAGAAGAATCCCTTTCTAAATATCCAGAACTAAAAGGGCGGGAAGTAAGAAATCGGGGTCTCACGGGAAGCTCCAAAGGCAGCCTTGCAGGGAGCCGACTCAGGTCGTCAGGCTGGGTAGCTCGTGACTTCTGAGCTGTCGTGTACATATTCAGAAACAAACAGTACTATGCCTGCGACTGGTTCACAGCCCCGAGAGAATGTGCTCTCCTCCCTGATGAAGGAGAGTGATGAGCCCAGACCCCACGTTGTCGAGAGAGGATGCGGTCGTCTGACACAGCTGGATGTCATCGGTCTGGGACAGCTGTGGCTTAACACTAGCCACTGCTGCAGCCCCATCTGTGTGTGGCAGGGTTACCTAGAGTTGCAAGGGGCAGCGGGATTACTGACAGTCCAGGCTGGGGGGTGGGGGACTCCTTTAGCCTCTCGGCAGGGAGAACACAAGCTGTTTGGTTCTAAGCTGACACCCAGCCCTTTTGGCCTTGTGGACGTTCTGTGAGTGCGTTGATCATCTTCGTTTCCTCTGGGACGTCTGTTCTCAGACAACCTCACTGTTTTCTTCCACAGACTCCGTATTCCGCATTCGTTCAGCTGCTTCCAGTTCTGGTGATCGTGATTATTTCTGTCATTACTCAGCTGCTGGCTGCTAACCCCCCATACAGTCTATTCTATAAATCGTAAGTGAATATTTCTAATTTTTCCTTTGTAACCGTCTGAAGGATGAAAGGCTTGGCGGAGCTGTGGTGGCACACACCTTTAATCCCAGCTCGAGGTAGGCAGAGGCAGGTGGATCCCTGTGAGTTCCAGCCAGAGCATGAGAGAGAGAGAGAGAGAGAGAGAGAGAGAGAGAGAGAGAGAGAGAGAGAGAGAGAGAGAGAGAGAGAGAGAGAGAGAGAGGATGAAAGACTTAAGGTTTTGCTGATTCATGCTGCTATTTCATTTCACCTTCCACTGTAGAAAATGCTGATCTTATGTTTTAAGGAATAGCCATTCAAAGTTTCTTTAGTGTTTTCTATGGAGGTACTAAATTACGTACTTGAAAACAACTAAACTAAACCAAAAGGAACAGCAACAGCCAAGCAGGAATAATGTACTCAGTGAGCAGCAGCTGCCTAGCTATGCCTCAGGAGAGGGATTGTTTTGTTACATAGTGACACCCTCTGGTCAACCGCAAAATAGTCATGATTGGTGTGGAAGGACCAGAGGAATCGTTTGAGATTCATAATAAATCTTTCTCAGGATGGTGAAATAAGGAAGAAGTTCAATAAAGGCAGAAAGGGTGGCTCATACCCGCAACCCAGCATTAAAGAGGCAGGGACAAAGGATTGCCATGGTTCCAGGCCAGCCTGAGCTACAGTGAGAGGAAGAGAGAGATGGAATGGGGAGGAGCGGGAAGGAGAGAGGAAGAAAAGGGAAGTGAGGAGGGCAGGTTGTGATGAGTGGGTTTGGAGCGGCAGACAGTGACTAGGACTAGTGTTGGTTTTTTTCTTCTGTGTTTCTAATTGAAAGGAAGGGTTAGAGAGATGACTCAGGGCGGCACTAGCTGTTCTTTCGGAAGACCCAGGTTTAATTCCCAGCACTTACGTGGCGGCTCACTTCAGTTCCAGGGGATCTGATGCCCTCTTCTGGCCTCTGCAGTCACCGTATGTGCAGAAGGTTCACAGATATTCAAGCAGCCAAAATACACATAAAATTAAGATTAATAAAAATTACAAGGAGGAATGGAGCACACCGTTAATCCCAGCGCTCAGAGGCAGGGGAATCTCTGAGTTCAGGACCATCCTGGTCTACAGAGTGAGTTTCAGGACAGCCAGAGCTATTATGCAGAGAAACTCTGTCTTGAAGAAAAAAGAATACAAGAAGGGATTTGTTATTAAAGGACATAGATTCAAACTATGCTATTTTGTTTCTTTGCTTTTACCGAGGACAAAATTTGTTATGCTTGTTGAGGCATGTAGGTTATATATAAATACAGATTAGGACTCTTTTTTTTAATTTCCCACTTATTCAATTGCTTTGGTCAAAGTTTTGTCCCTTAAGTGCAGCCTCAAGAGCATCAGCTGGCAACACATGTAGACCTCTTAGAAAAGTAAACCTCAAGCTGGACATGGTGGCGCACCCTTTTAATCCCAGCACCTCAGAGTCAGAAGCAGGTGGAGCTCTGTAAATTCCAGGTCAGCCTGTCTACACAGTGAGTTCCAAGACCAGAAGACAGAAGAGAGAAAGAGAAATAAACTTCAGTTTGTTTGTTTTTTTGTTTTTGTTTTGTTTTTTGAGAATCTCTCACTGTGTAGTCTAGCTGGCCTCGGATTCACAGCGATCTTCCTGCCTCAGTCTCCCAAAGCAGAGATTTGAGGTGTGTGGCCAGGCCTGGTTCTAGTCTCTTTCCTTTAGTTTACTTTCTTTCTTGGGAATAGCTCTTGCTATGTAGCTCAGGCTGGTCTCAGATGTCTGGTTCTCTTGCTCCCAGCTCCTGAGTGCTAGGCTAAGAGATGTGAACACCAGAGCTACGTGCTAGGGCGACATGCATGTGTAAACCGCTACATCTGTCTTTTTGTTTCTTTTTTTTAAGTATTTGTTTGTTTTTATGCATAGGTGACTGTGAGGCCAGTAAGATGGCTTAGCACGGTTGCAGTTCTTGCTGCTGAGCCTGATGGGCCTGAGGTTGATCCCCAGGACCCATATGGTAGAGAGAATGGAGTCTCTCAAGTTCTCCTCTAACTTCCAGACATATGCTAGGCTCTGCACTCACATATGTACAAAACAAATGAATAAGGCTGGGCACGGTGGCACACCGCTTTAAATCCCTGAGCTTGGGAAGCAGAGGTAGACCTATCTCCACATGTTCAAGGCCAGCCTGGTCTGCATAGCAAGTTCCAGTTCAGCCAGGGACATAAAGTGAGACCATATCTCAAAAAATGTGGGTGGGGGGAATCCTAGTGTCTGTGTGGTCAAAGGACAGCTTTTGGGAGCTGGTTTATGCCTTCTGCCTCCCTAAGGCAGGTCTCCCTGTTTCTGCCACTGTTTCATACTCCAGCTAAGCTGGACTCTGGGCTTCCAGACAACTCTCTTTGTCTGCTTCCCACCTTGCTGGAGAAGTGCCAAGATTACAGTGCATGCCCTTTATCTGGCTTTTTACATGGGTTCTGGCTGTAACTGAGGTCCATAGGCTCACATGGCTATAACCTTTGCCTGCTGAGCCATTTGCCCGCTGCCACACACACATCCTGAGTTATTCTGTTTGAGACGCGGTCTCGAGTAGCCAAGACTAGACTTGAACTACATCCATGTAGCCGAGGATAGCCTTGAACTTCTGATCCTCTTGCCTCTTTCTCTCAAATGCAGGAATTACAGGGGTGTGCCACTATTCCTCGTTCTATTTGGGACTGGGGAAAAATCCCAGGGCTTCATGTATGCTAGGCAAGCGTTATACCAACTGAGTCACATCCATAACCCTCAAAACAGACTTTTAAAGATTAGTCATTCTACTTTTCAGACAGAAAGCCACGTAAGAAAGGTGAGTCTTGGGCTAGAGAGATGCTCCAGGTAAGAGCACTGGCTGCTCTTCCAGAGGTTCAGGGTTTAACTCTCATCATCCAAATGGCAGCTCACAACCATCTGTAACTGGAGCCCTATGGGATCAGGTGCCCTCTTCTGATACACCTTACCAAAAAAAAAAAAAAAATCAAAGAAAGAAAGGTGAGTCCTCTGGAAAGAATAAACTGTGAGTTACATTGGTAATTGTCAGATTGCTTGCTCGATGGCTATAGTGATGCCTATGTTCTGTTTCACTAGTGGACTAACAAGTGTTGGAAGATGATGGCAATCGCGTTTAGAGGCCAGCCAAGAGTAAGATAGCCAGGTAGCAGGAGCTGATGCAAGCCACTCTCTGTTTCAGAACCTTGGGCTACACCATCTCTAGAGAAACGCAGAACCTGCAGGTGCCTTACTTCGTGGATAAAAACTTTGACAAGGCCTACAGAGGAGCTTCTCTTCGTGACCTGGAGAAAACAATAGAAAAAGATTACATTGATTACGTACAGACAAGCTGTTGGAAGGAGAAACAGCAAAGTAAGTAAGGCCAAGCAGGCTGTCATAGGTCTCCCCAGCCTCCCGACCCCTATCCCCTGCTGGTGAACAGAGACAGGACAAACACCCATTCAGGTATTACAGCAAAGAAGGTACGTCCATTGACATGTGGCCAGGATTGGAAAACTCAGAACCCTGGGCATCTTTGTATCTTCCTATTGTATTTTCTTCTCTCTGCCACCTGCCCCCCATGAGGAGGTGAGCTTACTACATGGCCCTAGCTGGCTGATTACTCACTGCATGGATCAGGCTGGCCTCACAGAGATCTGCCTGTCTCTGCCTGTAGGCTGCTGCTGTGTAGCCCTGGATTTCTGATCCTCCTGAGGACTTAGATTACAGGTACACACTAGCTCTCCCATCCTTACTACAGGACGCCCTGTGGGACTTAATGCATTTTGATTGTTGCTCTCTTATTGGTGTCCTAAGGTCCCTAGCCTCACCAGTCACGGGCCCCATTTTGCATCTCAACTTCTTCATGAAGTTCTCAGTGCTATCTGGTTTCATTCACAATCCCTAAACCCCACATTCCCTAGAGAGAAATCTGATTGAGCCAGCCTTCCTTTTTGAGTCAAATCAGAAGTTTAGAAGTTGCTGGCATGGGGCGGTGGTGGTGCACGCCTTTAATCCCAGCACTCGGGAGGCAGAGGCAGGCGGATCTCAGTGAGTTCGAGGCTGGGCTGGACCGACAGCCTCCAAAACAATACAGAGAAACCCTGTCTCGTAAAAACCAAAAAAAAAAAAAGAAAAGAAAAGAAGTTGCTGGCATGAGCCAAGCAGTGGTGGCGCACACCTTTTATCCCAGCACTGGGGAGGCAGAGGCAGGAGGATCTCTGTGAGTTCAAGGCCAGCCTGGTCTACAGAGCGAGTTCCAGGACAGCCAGAGCCACACACACAGACCCTGTTTAAGAAAAACAAAGCAAAAGAAGAAGTTTTTGGTAGCATGGGGTGTGGTGTCCCCTTACTTCTTGTTGCTTGTGGGTACATAGAAGAAGAGTGACCTCCTGGGTCTGTAGGGTGAATGGGAACAGATCTTTCTTCTCTCCCTCACAGAAGACAGTGGCTCCCCTGGCTTACAGCTCCAGTTGTTACTGGGGAGTGCTGGCAGCAGTGGTCGCCCTGTCTCGGCCAGTAGTTTCATTTTAAATCCCACTGGAACTGTGCGCGCACGCGCGTGCACACACACACACACACACACACACACACACACACACACACCAAGTAACTGCATCTTGGCTTTGCAAAATGGGCTTTGTTGATTTTTTTTTCAAAGCAAACTGTAACTCATCTTTTAAGCTTTGTTACTGTATGTCTCTAAATGTGCACTGATAAAATCAGTTCGCTGGTGCTTCTAAGCTCATGCTGCCCGGTCACATACTCCTGCCCCCATTGGGTGAACCTGCCCTTCCTGTGTGTTCTTAAAGCCCTTTGCTCTCCCTGCTAGCACAGTACTGATGAATAGCGTTAGTGGACCACGGGTGCATGCAGGTTCCTCTGCAGGACTGCTGGCCCCAAGGAGCAGACTGTCTTACTAATTCTGTGTCCTGGGCTGCGGGCACAGTCCTGGCTTCAGAACAGGTGCCCAACACATGATACTCTCATACTGGAAACCAGTGCACTGATGAGGAATGTAACAGATCAGTGCTAGCGTCTCTTTCTACAGGGCAAAGCTCAGCTACCCTCCTAGATAAGGGGCAGTTAAACAGAAGGAAGTTGCTTTCACCTACTTTGTTGCTAAATTAGTTTTGTTTGGTTGGGTTTTTTGTTTGTTTGTTTTTCTGAGACAGTCTCACTGTGTAGCTCTGGCTGTCCTGGAACTAACTATGCAGACCAGGCTGTTTAAGTTAGATTTTATCTTTTAAAAATCAGGAAAGATCTGGGTGAAGTGGTATAGGTCTGTGATACCAGCACTTGGGAGACAGGGATGGGAAGATTTTGAGTTTAAGGTCAGACTACACTACATAGTAACACTCTGTCTTGGGAAAAAAAAATCAGACTGGTGAGGTGGGTCAGTAGGTAAAGGCAATTGACACCAAGCCTGACTCGAGTTCAATCCAGGACCCAGAAGCAAAAAGAGAGAACTGGCTGGGCGGTGGTGGTGCACACCTTTAATTCCAGCACTTGGGAGGCAGAGGCAGGCAGATCTCTGTGAATTAGAGGCCAGCCTGGTCTACAGAGCAAGTTCTAGGACAGCCTCCAAAGTTACACAGAGAAACCCTGCCTGGAAAAACCAAAAAAGGAAAAGAAAAGAGAGAACTGACTTCCAAAAGTTGCTCTCTGACAACCACATACATGCCATGGTACATGCATGAGGGTACACAAACAAAAATAAATAAAGGGAATTTTAAAAAAGAAAGACAGAAAAAGGAATTGAGAAAGAGTTTGGTTTTTAGTCCAGGTTGGCCTCAAACTCACAGAGATTAAACTGGGCTTAAAGATGTTCCCCAGCCCTAGGGAAAAATTAGGAGCAAGATCCTGTGTGGCTCTAAATCAGGTGAAAGCTACAGTAATATGTCCTAAGCATCCCCTTTGTGTTGGGCACAGGAATGGCTTGCTTTCTGCAAGAACTACATGAAAATCTGCATTTTGCGTTCTTCAGACCCTCACACACACAAGCACACATATGCACATACACAGATACACATGCACTTGCACACATAAGCACACAAGCACAGGTGTGCGCACACACACGTGTGCTCCCACATGGACATGCACATGTGTCATGTTCTACTCTGTGGGGTTAAGATGCTGACCTTGCAGAAAGATGAAGGAGTTCCACAAGAGTGGTATCTGAGCTTTTGTTCCCATTCACGAGGCTTGCTCAGATCTATGGCCTCCATCATCTCTAGGGATACCAAGGCAGGAGGATCAGGAAGGAATTCAGGGCCTGCCGTAGTACAGAGTGAGTTCAAGACTAGCCTGGGCAACTTAATAAGCCATATCTCAAAATGCTTGTTTGTTTTTAAAAGCACTGAGTGTAATGGCTTGGTGGTATAGCTTATGCCTAGCAGCATACATGAAGTCCTAGGATCCACTCTCAGTTAAAACACACGCACGCACGCACACATGTGCATACACACATATAAAGAAATCCATTGAATGAATACAGCTCACCAGTTCTGAATGGAGGTTGTCAGCACACACTCCTGAAAAAAAAACCTATTGCTAGCACTTTAAACACAATGGTTCTGTGAGGTCTCCACATCACGCAAGTGCCATTTGAGAACAGGCAGCATCTGCCTTCTGAATCCAGCAGCAAGTGCAGCCAGGAAGTTAAATTTAGCACTTTGAGGTTGTAAAAATAAACTCACTTGAGAACAAAGTTCACTCTTGGCAAAATACCAAATGGAAATTTTATCAAGGGTAGCCTTGTCTTTGAAAAATCTTTATTATTACTTTTATTTGCTTTTCCCTGGAATGCCTAATTCAGGTGATTTTTTTAATTATGAATGATCATATGGATGACAACTGTCCTGTTTACTCTTTCATGGATATATCTGCATATTATACACACTGCCCAGGAAAGGGGCTACACCACTGCTGGGCAGGGTACAAGTGACGTCAAGACGTGCCTCTTGGCCTGGGACCTCAGGGCCGAGTGAGCCCTGGCCTTGGCTGAGTACATCTTTCCACACCCTTGAGCAGGATAACAGTGGGTAGAATCCAGGCTTTGAAGTGGGGAAAGAATTCATTTCCCACTGAGAGGCTGTGGGGGGTGTGTGTGTGTGTGTGTGTGTGTGTGTGTGTGTGTGTGTGTGTGTGTGTGTGTGTCTTAACACAGTGCCTGGAACACAGTAACACCTTATTCCTGTTGAAATCTAGGCTTGTACAGTCTCACACAAGAGACCAAAGGGCTGGGTTCCTGAAGGGGACATTTTGATGTTGTTTGATTTTTTTTCTCCTTTTTTTTTGTCTTTTTTGTTTGTTGTTTGTTTCTCTATTTTGTTTTCTCCTTTAAGGAGAAAAAGTGTTTTCTTGATCCTGCTCCTCCCAAAGACTTCACTCTTTCGTTTTACTTGTAAGTTCCTGAGTCCTGGGGCTGGAGGGATGGCTCAGTGGTTAGGAGCGCTCACTGCTCTGCAGAAGCCATGTAAGGTGACTCACAACTGTAACTCCAGCTCCAAAGGATCCAGCACCCTTTCCTGACCTAACGACTCCTGCGTGCCTGTGCGTGGTGCACACATATGCCTTTTGCGAGGCACTCATACATACACATAAAATAATTTATAGAAGATTCACCTCATTTTATATGTGAATCTTTGGCCTGTGTGTACCACATGTGTACTCGGTGCCCCAGAGGTCAGAGGAGAGCACCGGGTCCCCCGGAACTAGTTATGACCAACAAGCGCTCTTAGCCTTTGAGCCATCTTTCCATCCCCTAAAATATGTTTTAAGTTATTGAGCATTAGCAGAATTGTTAAAAGTTTTATACTCTTTGAGTAGTCCCTGGGTTTGTACCTCTTCGTTGCTCCAGTGCAGCGTTGTCTGACCCGGTTTCAGCGAGGTTTGTGGAAGCGATCCACGTGTTCCAGTGGCTGTCAAGGCAGACAGCCCCAAGTGTCATTGGTCTCTAACCCTCTGGATGAGAACTCCGGAGAATGAGACACATAAGAGGCAACGCACAAAGCAGCGTAGGGAGCTTGGTCCATGAAGAGCAGAGCCACAAACTCTGTTCTGGACTCTGGTGTGGCTGGGACTGTACAGGAACAAGTCTCCTGCGCGGACTGAGTGCTGAGCACCTAGGGAGGCAGCACACAACCCTCACGGAGCCCCATCACCTGCAGGTGATTGTGCCGAGGCAGGCCCTGGCACGCAGATGCTGTGGCCACCCGCACCAAGGGTGAGAGCACATTGTTCTGCAGCCTGGGGGACCCAGGGCCTGCCAAGCCACCGCTGGCTGGAGTCCAGGCCTGCAGTGCCATTGCTCAGGAAGGCAATCGTGCTCAACCGCCCCGCACCCTGGAGGCCTTACTTGTAAATAGGATCATTGTGAGCAGGAACTCGGGGCAGGGTTCTCTGATGATAGACAGCTATTCAGAGGTCCATGCCCATTGTCCTCTGACTGGTGGCTAATTCCTGTGCCCTCGAGTTTGCTGATTAATCAGACAGGTGCGTTTCGTTCCACCAAGAAAAACAAAACCTGTCAGCAAGGTGATTAAGAATGGAAGGCATATTTCAAAACGATTAAAATAGCATTTTCACAGCCATGCCCCTTAAACAGCTGCCTGCTGTCGGCAGCTCTCAGAAGCCACGGAGCCCATCCAACATGCTACTGCATTAGCATGTAGTCACATGACATGTCTCCAAGCATGCTACCACATTAACATGTGGTCACATGATACGTCTCCAACATGCTACCATATTAACATGTGGTCACATGACACGTCTCCAAGCATGCCACCTTATTAACATGTGGTCACATGTCTCCAAAGGTGTGTCTCAGGAGTTCCCCCTAAGAGGGAGGAACTTGTAAGGGATTAAAAACTTAGACCAACCACTGTGGAGTTGGGAAACACAGCAGAGATTATATTCCATTTAAAAATAGAATGGCCTACTCTATCATGAGGAGAAAATGAGATTTTTTTAGTCAAGGACACAGAGGTCACTAGGCTGAGATGATTTCACTTTTAAAAGAGCCATATGAGTCTGGGACCCTTATATGAAGAGAGCTGCCAGCCTGGCCCTCTGTAGATGCTCACCTTCCAGAGTGGACCCATGTCGTGTGTCACTTAGGAGCCTGCAATGCCGGGGGAACAAGGAAGCAGCTGTCTTTGTTCGGATGACAGGAATAGGCATTGGGGCTCCAGTCCCCGCCCCCACCGCCATCTGACCATCACCGTAGCAACCCCATGACAATCTCTTCTTTCTGCACATGTTCAAGCTTCCTATGCCTGGGGCCAAATGTTTTTGTTGATGAGAACTAAGCCTAGTGCTCTTGTAACAGCATGGATGGGGAAGGGGGGTCGCAGGCAGCATTCACCCTCGACACCGGGTGCAGTGGCCGTCAGATTCCTTTAGGGTGGAGGAGCAGCATTGCCCGGACGGAGTGAGGCAACGTGGCATGAGAGTGAGGCCTTTTGAGTCTAGGGTCACTGAAAGAAAGACTCAGCGTTAACGAACCTTCGCTTGTATCTTTCAGAGTCAGAGCTGACCAATTTGGCGGGGTTATATAGAGATGAGCGACTGCGGCAGAAAGCAGAGTCACTGAAACTTGAGAACTGTGACAAACTCTCCAAGCTAATTGGCCTCCGGAGGGGCGGCTGAGAGCATGGTGGCCCGGCTCAGCATGGGGGGTTTCTACTTGTCACTATTTACATGTTACTTTATAATGCAAGTTAGGAAATGGTGAACGCTTACTATCTGCTAGCTTTGTTGGGCAGAGCTGCAGGACATGGAGCCACACTCACCGTCCAGTTCTTCCAGGCCCAGCTCCCAGGGCAGGGACACTTCATCTAAGTCCCATGAACGGTAGAGTTCGGACTCAGCTCCTCTCTGGATGTAGATCAGGGCATCCCAGAGAAGACCCACGTTTCCTCTTGCATCCTGCCTGCAGCAAAAGCCGCTCCCCAGACATTTCTAGTCTCAGTCAGTGCACTGAAGAGTATGGACGGTGCGTGCCGGGAATTACAGAGTCACCGTCCACCCGGTGTTCCGTTTTCCACTCCCTAAGGAGAGTGCAGAGAAGTTGAACTGCTTGGCCAATAGTCTGGTGTTACTCCAGTCTCTGTTGAGGCAGGAGCATCAGCAAACTGCCTGATCTGTGATTTATCTTTCTTTTTCGAAAGGAGGGCTCATTCTGTAGCCCAGGCTACCCTGGAACTCACTCTATAGTCCAAGCTGGCCTTGATTTTGCCATGACCCTACTAAGTGCTGGGATTACAGGCATGAGCTACCATCCCCAGTGAGGTCCCTTTTATTTCCCTCTCTTTCAGAAAATAAAACCTGTTGAGCGGGCTGGATGCGATGGCACACACCTCTAATCCTAGCACTTACAGGCAGAGGCAGGCCACTCTTCACGAGCTCTAGGCCAGCCTGGGCCACATAGCAAGTTCCCCACCAGCCAAAGTTATGTAATCAGATCTTGTCTTTAAAAAACAAAACAAGCCGGGCAGTGGTGGTGCATGCCTTTAATCCCAGCACACGGGAGGCAGAGGCAGGTGGATCTCTGTGAGTTCCAGGCCAGCCTGGTCTATAGAGCGAGTTCCAGGACAGCCTCCAAAGCCACAGAGAAACCCTGTCTCGAAAAAACAAAAACAGAAAATGAAAACCCCGTTGAGCTGTGAAACAGTTCCATGGACCGCTGAGTAGCAGGAGATGGGGCTAAGGGAGAAGGTGAAACACCAGTGTAGACACCCAGGTCCATCAGGAGCTAGGGAGCACTCCCTGTGCTCCTTTAAGCCATCATTGAGTGTGGCAGGTCTCAGGCTGAGCACAAAGTGTGCAGAGAAATGGTGGTGGAACCGAAGAGGAGGCTCAGGCACAGACGCAAAGGGAGGGGCAGGGAGGGCTGATATCAGCCTCGGCAGGCAGTGTCCTTCCAATTTTAGTACAAGGCGGTCTTTCATTCACTCAGTATTTATGGGATGCCTCCTACAAAGCAATGGCTTATTTTTCTTTCTTTCTTTTTTTTTACTTATGCCTCCTCACAATTTGTGAAGCTGGTGTATTACCTCTTTTATGAACCAGAACAGGATACATGGTTGGCCTGGGTCATATGACCAGGTGAGGAAGTACGAAATGTGAGAGATCATCCTGTTTCTTAGGTGATGCTAGCCAGGCTGGTAAAGCAGAGATTTTCCCCTCGGACGCCTCTGCCCCCCAGCTTGTACCCTTCCCGTGGCACTCCTGCATCCCTTCAGGACTGCAGAGACGGCTGCTCTTACAAAGGACTCAAGTTCAATTCCCAACACTCACACGGCAGATCCCATCATTCTGTAACTCCAGTTCCAGAGGATCCGGCTCCCTCTTCTGGCCTCCACAGGCACTGAGCGCACCTGTTACACAGACGTCCATGAAGGCAAAATACCCAGACATGTTTTGTTTTGTTTTTTTAATGCAGGACCCTTTGATAACAAATCCTTCAGAGGGAGGAAAAGCAGCTCTTCCTAGTACTAAGCCACCGATTGCCCAGGCTGTATGGTTGGGCCTTCCTGTGGAGGGCAATGTCAGATCTAAGTTCCTGAGCTACCCAGATTATCATGAGACTGAATTTGGAGGACCAGTTGATAGCTGGTTTGTATTCCACGTATTTTTTCTTTTTAGGTTGGGTATCATGTATTCCAGTCTGGCATCAAAGTCAATACACAGCTAAAAACTGAACTTTCGTTTTCGTTTTTCTAGACAGGGTCTCTCTGTTTAGCCCCGGCTGCCCCGGAACTCACTCTGTAGACCAGGCTGGCCTCAATCTCAGATCTGCCTGCCTCTGCCTCCCGAGTGCTGGGATTAAAGGCGTGCGCCACCACACACGGCACCTTTTATTATTATTATTATTGTCGTTGCTGTTGTTTGTTTCAAGACAGGGTTTCTCTGTATACCCATGGCTGTCCTGGAACTCACTCTGTAGAACAGGCTGGCCCTGAACTCAGAAGATCCACCTGCCACTGTCTCCGGAGTGTGGAGTGCTGAGATTAAAGGTGTGCATCACCACTGCCTGCCTAAAATCCTCCTGCCTCTAGAGTCACTCCTGGCTTTTGTGATGCTGGGAAAAGAACCCAAGGCTTTGTGCATGCTGGCCTACTAAGCTACATCCCCAGACTTGCAAATTTTTGGAGAACCCCTTTAACCTATGAGCTGCAGGGAATTTACTTTGTAAAATGTGCCAGGCATGGTGAAACCTACATTTAAACTCGGCACTCAGGAAGCAGAGGCAGATGACATACTGTGAGTTCAAGGCCAGTGTGCTCTGCATAGCAAGTTCATAGTGAAACCCTGTCTCAAACAACAGCAAACCCATGTGTTGTAAAATGTACCCATGAACCAAACAAGCTTATGGAAAGTTCCTAGAAATGAGAAACTGCAAAGCTCTCCTTTCCCAGCCTCAGCCAGAAAGTGGACCATCATGAAATTGGTGTGACAGGGTAAAAGCCCTCCCCTAGATGCCCTTGAATAGTCTGTGGATTTCATGGCAGTGATGAATTATCTGTGGTGATGACACCAGAGTTAGTCTAACTCAGCTCCATTAAATGCCATGCCCAGTGTCTGTTCTTATAGCCTGGTGGTTCTTACAGCCTGTTTTATTTATTACCAATAGCTACAGTACTCATATCTTGTTTACTCAAGAGAACCATATTCGCTTTGGTTAAAGGATAGTTTAATCTACTTGGCACTATCTAGAATCGTGTTAAACTCTTAATTCCTTGCTTATAATTTAGATACATTGTCTGTGTGTTGGTAAACTAAGCTGTACTCTTGCCCACGTTTTCTATGAGATTTCCTGGCAATGTACCCTCTTAGGCATGGATTTTCCTTGCTGTCAGCGTGGCTCACGGTTTGAGACTGCAGAGTGGAGACTGTGATGGGAGTGAGGTTGAGAAACAGGGCTCACACAGGGCCGGAGACTGACATTCAAACGAGGTGCTCTGTTTAGTGAGAGGGAGACACAAAATCCTCCTTGCAAGGAGCACTAGAGCTTGAAGGCCCCCATGTCGCCCTCTGTCTGCTCAAGCCAGGACCCCTGAGCCTCACTGACCAACTCCAGGCCACACGGCTTGGGAGAAGTGACCGGTAAGAAAACAGTATCGCTATGCATGCTTACGGGAACAGTTAGAAGTTACGAGACCGACACGCTGAACCTGCTGGGACCAGGATCCAGCAACAGGGCTGGCTGAGCTGCGTGCTGCTTGCATTTTCTCTTCCCTCTCCTCAGAACTTGGCGCGGCCAGGAGGCGCCCCAGGATCCCAGCAACCGGCCACACAACCAACCCATGGTCTCTGCATGCACTGCCTCTCACAAGAGCTGGCTTTTAGCTGATATTCATTCAAGGTATTAGATTGGCATCCTACCGTATTTATTTTGGGGAAAGGCCGGTTACTATACATCCTAAGGTCTGGGCCTGCACTGTTGGTACAACATGCAGTGGTCACCAAGGACTGCTACACACTGAGTCTGCGTTTGCATCACCCTCAGTGTTTGGAGGTGGGAGTGCTCTGTGACCAGAGTCAGGAATGGCACATGTGAAAATGCTGAGAAATCTGGCTACCTGATCCATTGCATTTAGAACGAGTGTATTTTAACAACAGTAAACATTAAACAATTTTATATACAAAATGCAACTTTACGGCTGTTCTGTGTTCCGCCTTTGCCCACAATCCTCATGCTTGGAGCCACTTTGGACTGAAGACGTTACTGTGGAATAGTTTGTGTTTAGAATAGTACATAGTACTGATGGGATGAGTTCCAGGCTTTTTTTTTTAGGGGGAGTGCAGTTTCAAGATAGGGTTTCTCTTGGGCTGGAGAGATGGCTCAGAGGTTAAGAGCACTGACTGCTCTTCCAGAGGTCCTGAGTTCAATTCCCAGCAACCACATGGTGGCTCACAACCATCCATAATGAGATCTGGTGCCCTCTGCTGGTGTGCAGACATACATGGAGGCAGGATGTTATATTCATAATAAATAAATAAATCTTTAAAAAAAAAAGATAGGGTTTCTCTCTGTAGCCGTGGCTGTCTTTGAACTCACTCTGTAGACCAGGCTATCCTCAAACTCAGAGACCCACTCACCTCCGCCTGGAATTAAAGCACGTGCCACCACCGCCCAGCTTGTTTTCTGCCTTGTTTTTTGAGACATCTCACTATGTAGTTCTGGCTGTCCTTGGACTCACAAAGGGCTGGGATTAAAGGAATCAGCCACCATGCCTGGCTTTTTTTTTTTTTTTTTATAGTAAGAGTTTCATTTTTTGGTTTGGTTTGGTTTGGTTTTGGAGACAAGGTAGCCTTGTCCAAGCTAGCCTTGAACTTGCTATGTATGAAAAATGACTCTGAATTTCTTATTCTCCTGCTTTTTATCTCCGAAGTGCTGGGATTATAGGCTTTCCACGCATGCTAATAAAAAGCATGCCCATCTCAGCTGAACTGTATTTTTCTGGGTTTCGTTTTGAGGCAGGGCTTTTTCTACGTAGGTCAGGCTGGTCTTGAACTGACAATCCTCCAGACTCCTGAATGCTGAGGTTTCCAGTTTAAGCCACCAAGCCCAGTCGTTTGTTGCTGCACTGTTGGGAATGAAATCCAGTCTAGTTTCTTCCCTGAGCAAGCCACCTACCCACTGGGCCACACGCAGGGGGTCCGCCTTGCTAACAGAGGAAGTCCCCGCCCCCGGTTGCCAGGGCGCTCTGTGGCGTCTCATTCTCATTGGCTGGCGACAGGCAAGGCACGCAGCCGGAGGCCATTTCCAACGAGCTGGCGGGGGCGAAAGATGGCGACGCCCCTTGGGTGGTCGCAGGGGGGCTCCGGATCTGTGTGTCTCGCCTTCGATCAACTGCGGGACGTGATTGAATCTCAGGAGGAACTGATCCACCAGCTGAGGAATGTGGTATGCAGCCAGAGCTCGGGGAAAGGCCCCACTGAACGCCGCACCGGCGGGGGGCGGGGCCGGGCCCCTCTTTGGATTGGGGGCGTGGCTAGAATACATTGCGGAGGGCGTCATCCCGGAAGCTGGGCTCACCTGGCTCCTAGGGGCGGAACCAAGAAGAGCGGGGTGCCTTCCTGAACTTAACCCAAATTAGGCAGTGTTCTCCACTCTGCCTGGTTGCTGAAGCGACTGGTAGATACGCATTGAACCCCAATGCCTCCACTTTTAGTGGAGGTGGCCTCACTGACTCTCCAAGGACTCCTGGGCACAGAAACCAGATCATTCCTTAAGCCGCGCCCCTCCCCGGTGTCAAATGCAGTGCTAATACAAATTCGCCCTTTCACGGTGCTGGTTTAAGGGGCTCCAAACTTTTCGGTGTCCTTTTGTTTCCAGCCTCAGCTAATGGGTGCCAAGCATTGGCGTCACAGGTTGCCTCGGTGCTGGCCAGCAGGAACGCATAGTTTTTGTTGTTCTATTTTGGTACCAATGTTGAGATACTTCTCTAGCTCAGAAAATAAAAACTTGGCTTCATGGCTTCACATCCACTCTGATGAGTTTTAGACAGTGTCCTCCCTTCTGAGCAGTTAGGTTCGAGGAGGATTATGAGAGACATACTCTGCCTCTTTCCACAAAATGTATGCTATTGGCCGGGCCGTTGGTGGCGCACGTCTTTAATCCCAGCACTCGGGAGGCAGAGGCAGCCGGATCCCTGTGAGTTCGAGGCCAGCCTGGTCTACAGAGCGAGTTCCAGGACAGCCTCCAAAACAATACAGAGAAACCCTATCTCGAAAAACAAAACAAAATGTATGCTATGGGCACTGAATTGCCCTGAGGGTCCCAAGAGGGTCCCCAGATCTTTCTCTGGGTAGCTCACTTGGGCTTGTGTGTTCCCACCATCTGGAATATATATATATTTCTCTCTACTCATCATATTTAGCAGTCAGATCTCAGGATTAATGTCACTTGCTCTGAGAGCAATACTGACCCTTGGGCTATCCCCCATGACATACGGTGTTAAATGAACCATCTCTGGTCGATCCTTGCAGGCAGCACTTAGAGCTGGTCTGCAGTAAATCTGCAGAACTAAATTCTCCTGTCCTGAGGCCTCAAGTCCCGGACGTCATTTGTCGTGGTCCTTAGAGGGCACCCCCTCCCTCCCTAGTCCCAGTCCCTTCCTGAGCAGGGCTCTGTTGCAGATGGTTCTCCAGGATGAAAATTTTGTCAGTAAAGAAGAATTCCAGGAAATAGAGAAGAAACTGGTGGTGAGTAACGGCCTCTGCAGACCTCCTAATTTTCTCTCCTTTCCCAGGCTCCCCCGTGTGTGGGGGGGGGGGACGGGGGCAGAGTCCTTGAGCACTGGCCTTGCGCGACCTCTAGAGCCTTTGCAGCGAGGCCAAGTCTTCCTGCACCCTGGCTTCGAAATGCACCTCTGAGAAAGGGGGGGGGGGAGGTTAGCTAAGGGATCCTGAGAGTTCCGAGGTGGCTTGGGATAAAGAGGTAAACCACCTCCCCTGCAGGATGAGAAAGCTGCCCATGCCAAAACCAAGGCCCTCCTGGCCAAGGAAGAGGAGAAGTTGCAGTTTGCGCTGGGAGAGGTGGAGGTGCTGTCTAAGCAGCTGGAGAAAGAGAAGCAGGCCTTTGAGAAAGCGTGAGTGGGCCACAGGGAGGGGCATGGAGGTCGGGGGGGAGGGGCTCGGAGGTTGGGGGAGGGGCTCATCTGCCTTCCGCCCGCCCACCCTGTCCCTTCTAACTTCTCCCCGCGCAGGCTCTCCAGTGTCAAGAGCAGGGTTCTGCAGGAGTCTAGCAAGAAGGACCAGCTCATCACCAAATGTAATGGTAGGCGGGAGGCCCGTGCTGCCCCCCAAGTTAACATGCACGGGCTCTTTTCCAACAGCCCAGTGCCTGGGCCAAAGGCAGGGCTCTATCCCAACTTCTGCCCCCGGCTGAGGATACAGGCAAGTCCAGGCGGGTCACACCTTCGAAAATGCCTTCAGGGACCAGGCAGGCCACGGAAGTGATGGATGAAATCGGTGTGCGGTATTCTTCACAGCCATAAAGGAACGGGCTCGCTCCCATTTTTCTTGAAACATAACGACCTTCTTAGTCCACCTTTTGGTTTTTTTTTCCCCCATAAGTCTTAGAAATAGTGTACGCTATTGATAACCTTGCTTCGGGAGGAGCCATAGAACAAGCTCAGTCCTACTCTGAGCTGATTGTAGACTGAGGATCAAGGGACTCAGTAGGTGTGGGGACTCATGAAAGCCACGCCCCTCCCACGAGGCAGAGCCTAAGGCTACCAGATCTTTTAAAAGAGAACCTAGAAGCCAGGCATTGTGGCACAACACTTCTGATCCCAGCACTCAGGAGGTGGAGGCAGGAAGATTGGGGGAGTCCCAGGCCATCGTGGGGGTGTGTGAGACCTTATCTCAAAAACAAAAAAAGAATTTTCAAGCCAACTTTAATGGAAACCTCTGAATTGTTAGTGTAGGCAGCTAATTTAGGCAGTTTGAAAGTATTTTGTTCACGGAGTAAGCTGTCTGGGCCACTGGATTTCAGCTCTGCTGTGTTCATGGTTTCTGGCCGCTTGCTGGTTCCGTGGAGTGCTCCGAGCTGGGAACAGCTATCCCAGCCTTCAGGAACACCTTTCATTTTAGGGACTGTTAAACTCTTGTTACTCAGCCTAAGAAGTAGCTATGAATTCCATGCACGAAATCTCTTCATTCTTTGTAGTAGATCTTGAATAGACTAGAGACCAGACTGAGCCCATGGGGCTCTGGACAGCCCTCAGGCACTCACGGCCTCTGTCCCTCCTGGCATGCAGCTCTCTCTGACAGGCGTCATGGGTGTTGGAGCAAGGCCTCCTGAGCCTAACAGACAGTCACTGTCTCACACCCAGTGTCCCTCCACCCCTGCGTCTTTTCCACCCTTCTTAACATCTCCCCTACCCAGAGAACCCAGAGAGCCGGATAACTTGGGATAACTATAAACATCTTTCCTTATGGCGTTTCCTTCTACCAAAATCAGCCCAGGCCCTAGGGCCTTCCATGTGTCATAGGGTCAGGGTCTGGCTGCCTCTCCACAGAATGTCCTGCACCTCTCTAATGGGCTACAAACCCACACTGAGCCAGTGTGGTGCCGTGAACCTCACTTAATACCCCTGTCTGGCCCTTTGTGATTTATTTTCCCTCCCTCCCTCTTTCCCGGTTTTTTTTTTTTTTTTTTTGGTCTGATTTTTCGAGACAGGGTTTCTCTGTATTGTTTTAGAGGCTGTCCTGGAACTCGATCTGTAGACCAGGCTGGCCTCAAACTCACGGAGATCCTCCTGCCTCTGCCTCCCCAGTGCTGGGATTAAAGGCGTGTGCCACCAACGCCCAGGCCCCTTTCCCTTTTTGAGACTGGTTCTCTCTGTGTAGCCCTGACTCTCCCTGAACTCACTCTGTAGACCAGGCTAGCCTTGAACTCACAGAGATCCTCCCGCCTCTGCCTCTAAACACTGGAGTTAGCAGGTGCCACCATACCCAGCTAGTCACACAGATTTCTTTTTTTTTTTAAGATTTATTTATTTATTGTGTATACAGTGCTCTGTCAGCGTGTATGCCTGCAGACCAGATGAGGGCATCAGATCTCATTATAGACAGTTGTGAGCTGCCATGTGGGTGCTGGGATTTGAACCCAGGTCCTCTGGAAGAGCAGCCAGTGCTCTTAACCACTGAGCCATCTCTCCAGCCCAGTCACACAGATTTCTAGTTCTTTCCCAAAAGGATTTTAGATGCAATTAACCTAGGTTATCTGGGTGACCTTGAGAGCCAGGCTCTGAGGCCCCCTCCTGCCATGCAGTGAGTCCTTCCAACGCCCAGCCAAGTAGTGGTTTTGTATTAACAGTTTCTCGTGTTTGTATGTGGTGTGTGTGTGTGTGTGTGTGTGTGTGTGTGTGCGCGCGCGCGCGCACGTGCATCCCACAGTATAGGTGTGGAGGTGAGGGACAACTTGAACTCCACATTCTCCATCATTGTGTGGGTCCTGGAGAGAGGACACAGGCCCTCCAGGTGGCAGCAAGAACTTGACCCTGCTGAGCCATCTCACTGATCCAGTGCCCTGTTGCTTGTGACAGGGTCTCACGCTGAACCTGAAACTTGCCAATTTTGGCTAGACTGCAGGCCAGCTAGACCCAGAAAGCCCCAAGGATCCCCCCAACCCCCCCCCCCCCGTCTTGACTTCCTCAGCACTAGAATTGGTGCACCTGGCTTCCTATGTGGGTGTTGGGTAATCCAGACTGTGGTTCTCTTATTTGCTGTGCAGCAAGCTCTTCAGCACGTGAGTCACCTCCTGAGTCCCCGTTGCACTTAAGCTGCGTGTGTTCATGTGTGGGATGTGTATGTATGTGTGTGCACATGTATGTGGAAGCCGGAGGACAACCTCCATTGCCATCCTGAGGAATGGTACTGACTTCCCTTAAGAAAGGCTCTCCCACTGGCTGAAAGCTTGCAGATGGACATTTCTTTCCCACCCGCCAGTTCCCAAATAACTGACACAGAGACTCAATATTAATTATAAGTGCTTGGCTAATAACTCAGGCTTACTACTTACTCGCTCTTACAACTTGAATGAACCCACTTACATTAATCTACGTTCTGCCACGTGATGTCGCCTCTTTGCCTGTTTCCTCTCCACGTCCCACTGGTGACTCCTCTGACTCTACTCTTCTTCCAGTGTCCTTAGTCTGATTTTCCCACTTAACCTTATCCTGTCCAGCTATTGGCCAGTCAGCCTCTTTATTAAACCAGTCACAGCATCATTGTGTACACAAGGGTTATTCCACAGCAGAAGCTCACCAATTTGGCAATACTGGCTGGCCAAGAGGCCAGGGATGCTCCTGCCTCTGCCTCCGCAGCATGAAGGATTACGAGCGAATACCCCCACACACACACATCCAGCAGTCCCATGGCTTTGGAAACCTCACTCAGATTCTCATGCTTGCAAGGAAGTGGTTTGCAGACTAAGCCCTTCCCCAGTTGTCACCCTCCAATCTTTCTCATATGTCTCTCTAACTTTACTGACTTTGGTCTTTTTCCCTTACTTACTGCTTTATATGTATGGATGTATTTTTCTACCTGTGCACTCTGTGTGTGCCTGGTGCCGTCAGAGGCCAGAAGAGGGAATCAGGTGCCCTGGGACTAGAGTTACAGAAGATTGTTAACTATCGTGGGTGCTAGGAACGGAACTGAACTCCTCTGGAAGAGCAGCCAGTGCTCTTAGCCACCAAGTCCACTCTCCAGCCCCCTTTTTCCCCTTTTTTGAGAAGGGTTCTCATGCACTCCAGGCTGGCCTCGAACTTGCTATGGAAGGGCTTTGAACTCATCCTTCTGCCTTCACCTCCCGGGTGCTGGATTGCTATCCCGTATCACCACACCTAGCATTTCTCTTCCTTCCTTTTTTTCTCTCTTCCATAGCTCAGGGAACTGGACGCAGGGCTTTGCATGCTACGCGAAAGCTTGCGCCCTGCTAGTGAGCTGTAGTCCCAGTCCTGCGCAGTCTTTTAGTCAGTGGGATGACCCTCCTTCCCATGTGATCAAAAAATTTTCAGGGCTCCTTGAAGGATTTCTGACCCAAGATACAGACATTTGTATCAAATGTGTGCTTAGTTAGGAAAGAGGCTTTCCCCTCTCTGTCATCATCGTCCCTCCCCTCCATGCTGCCTTGGAATAGGGACTGTTTACATATGAGGAAACAGGTCCTAAAAAGCAGGTAACTCATCAGCTCACAATGCCTCGCCACGCTGAAGTATGTGGCTTCATCCTGTTCTCTGGTAGTTTCCTCATTTGTCCATCATTTGTTTTTATTTTCTTCTCTGCCTCTCTCTGTCTCTAGCTTTCTCTGTCTCTCTGCCTTTGTGTGTCTCTGTCCACCCCCCCACACACACAGTGGGAGCCTCATACATGGTAGGAAAGTGTTCTAGTAATAAGCCACACTGCCAGCCTTCAACTCCTGAGTCTATTTTTATGTATGTTTTTTTTTTTTCCTGTTGAGACAGATAGCTCAGGCTGGCCTCAAACTTGGTAGGAGACTTTGGTCTCCCAATACTCTCTCCCTTCTGCCTTCCACGTGCTGGGATCACTGGTATGTGCCGACACCCTCAGAGTAGTTTCTGGGTTTTGTTTTGTCTTTTTAGGTTTTTTTTTAGTTTTACTTATGTGTGCACCATGTGTGTGCCTAGTGCCTGCGAAGGTGAGACAAGGGTGCCAGTTCCCCAGGAACTAGAGTAAACATGTTTAGGAGCCACCATATGGGTGCTGGGATCCAATTCAGGGTCCTCCAGAAGGGCAGTCAGTGCCTTTAACCACTGCGCCATCTGTCCAGCCTCTAGTTCCTGAGTCCCAGCTCTTCTTTTGGAGAAGTCAAGCACATGTCTGATGGGGTCAAGGATCTCCTCTCCCACCAGAGGCCCAGTACAGCATAGGTCTGAGCAACCTAGTCTGCCCATAACAGGTCCGTTTGGACGAGGCAGCCAAACTTAACGTTTCCAATGCCAACGTCCTTAGGGGAAGGACATCTGGTTCATGTATTCCACAGTACACAGATCTGTGAACCAGGCACTGTTCTAGGTCTTAGGCGTAACAGTGAAGAAGACAATGGTCCCTGTCCTTGTGGACCTTATGTCCTAGTTGTGGAAAGACAAACGAGTGACTTATGAGATACAGGATCGGGAAAGGGGGACAAGAAGGGGAGGGATTGCAATTTCTAGACCAAGGGTCTAACTAAGGAAGTGTAAAGACCTAGGAGTAGCAATTAAGGGCCAGGGCTTTGGCCTGTTTCTTTCTAAGGATTTTTATTTTTGGGTAGGTTCGTAATAGAGCGTTGAAGTGGCTGACATCATCATTTTCCCCACTCCCAAGACCTCATAAATTTGCTGATACAGCAGGGCCTGGTGACGAACACTCTAATCCCAAATACCCAGGAGGCTGAGCAGAAACCAAAAGCTTAAGGCCTACCAGGATCATAGAGTGAATTTAAGGCTAGCCTGGTCAACTTATTGAGACTCCGCTTCCAAACCAAGTAGAAAGTCGATGGCCGTGGTGGTGCAGGTTACCCAGCACCTTGAAGGCTGAGGCAGGTGGGTCTCTTGCATTTGAGGCCAGCCTAGTCTACATGGCAAGTTCCAGAACAGCCACAGCTGCATAACGGAGAGACCTGTCTCAAAAAATAAATAAATAAATAAATAGAAAAAGGGTAGCAAACCTTTAATCCTCCCACTCAGGGGGCAGAGGCAGGTGGCTCTCTGAGTTTGAGGCCATCCTGGTCTACAGAGTGAGTTCTAGGACAGCTGGGGCTACGTATAAAGACCGTCTCAAAAATAAAGGATCGGGAATGTAGGCTGTGGTAGAGCACTTACCTGTCATGGTCAGTTCAGTCTCCAATACAGAAAACCAAACTCATTCGTGCTGAGGTATTGACAACTGTTCAAGGCTAACCCCTGAGCGGCAAGAGCAAAGTCCCGAAAAGCCCCACAAGGGAAGACCTCAACTCTAGGAGGTCAGCTCCTCCCTGCCTCTCTCCCCCACAGAAATTGAGTCTCACATTATAAAGCAAGAAGATATACTTAATGGCAAAGAAAATGAGATAAAAGAGTTGCAGCAAGTTATCAGCCAGCAGAAACAGATTTTCAGGTGAGGGGCCGGGCCAGGCTTGGGGGTTGTTGATGGAAGTGGGGAGCCTGACTTCTGGCCCCTGCCCAGGGCCCAGCAGCCTACGACCAGCCGGCTCGCTCCGTTGCAGGAATCACATGTCTGACTTCCGGATCCAGAAGGAGCAGGAGAGCTACATGGCCCAGGTGCTGGACCAGAAGCATAAGAAAGCCGTGGGGACGCGTCGGCCCCGGAGCCGCCAGTGTCCCAGGGAAAAATAAAATGCTGCCTGCCTTCCTGTTCTCTGGCTACAATGCCCAACTTCTACCTTCTCTGTTCCGGGGAGACCAGCTCTCCCCATCCACCCCCCGTGGGCTTCTTTTCACCCCTCTCCAACCAAGGGAGGCTGCTCTGCCTGTCTGCCTCCAAGGGCTGCATGGGGACAGGTCTGGAGACCCGGGGACCGCCGCCACCGTACAGACTCTTCTGAGCTTTTTAGGAGGAAACACTGCTCAAGTCCAGCCCCTGCTGCGGCATTTCTTTGGGATAGGGTAGAGCCGACAGGAACTGAGTCTTTGTGGTCTAGCAGGAGCTGCTACTTGCTTTTGGTGGTTAGTCATTTTTCTCCATACATAGCCCAGGTTAGCCCAGTAGTCACACTCTACCTGAACTCCACTAAATGTGATTCTCCAGGGTTAGCTATAAGGTTAGGGAAGAAGGGAGTGTGTGAGGGAGCTTGTGTTGGCATAGCCTGACCAGACACATTAAAGACTGGACTCCAGAAGTCACCCAGGTACTAAGAACACATGTAGGAGCCAGGTGGTGGTGGCGCACGCCTTTAATCCCAGCACCTGGGAGGCAGAGTCAGGCGGATCTCTGTGAGTTCCAGGCCAGCCTGATCTACAGAGCGAGTTCCTGCCCTGGCCAAGGCTACACTGAGAAACCCTGTTTCACAAAACAAAATCCCAAAACCAAATAAATAAAAACACATGTGTGTTCTAGACATACAAACCACTCCTGCACCTTCTTACACTTCAGAACAAAAACCTTCACAAGCTGGAGGGAAGTGACAAAGCTTGGAATCAGGGAGACAGGGCCATGGCCTGCTCGAGGTGCTCAGGCAGGCCTTGATGGGACGAAAGGCTGAATCCTTCCATCCATCTCCACTGTGTGTGTCCGAGTGATCACGGAGAATGCAAGAGCTGCAAAGAGGAGACCGTTAAGTCTAGGCTGTGCTGGGTCAGTGTGGGGCGAGGGCAAAGGCGGGGCCAGCTTGCCTGAGAGCCAGCTGGGGGCCTGAGTCATAGCAGGACCTTCAGGCCTGAAGTTAAGGGCAAGCGATGTGCTATTGTCATAATGACAGCTGGTGGCTGCTTCCCGACCACGGAAGGAAGGCATGTTGTAGGGCCCTCTCCCCTGACCCCGAATAAGGGCCTCTGTGAGCCTGGGACCTTAGAGGGAACCCTGCCATGGCTGGTTTGTCTCCCAGGCTTGTTCTGAATGCTAAGCAGGTTGGGAAAGCTAGCTAGGGACGGCCCTGACTCCAGCTCTCCCCCTGTGGATCTCGCTAAGCGATGCGTCTAGCCTGCACCTGAGTTTAGGAGAGGCATTCTCTTTCTCTTTACCCTATAGGGGACGGCTGCGCGGGTGTGAGGGAAGTCAGGAAGCATACGGATTGTAGTTAAGGAAGCGGTGGAGGAGATTCCTTGAGGTGTTAAAGGCGTTGGGGGCGGGGGGGGGGCAGAGGATTTGGGACTTCAAGATCTCACACCCTGAACTTCTCAGGCAAGCCCCTTGCAAGGCCAGAGTTTTCCCACCTGTGATGGGTGGAGTTGGGTCTAGCTGCTTGCTCCTTTCGCCTGCCTGTAGATCCCTCAACCCCGCGTTCCGGCCCGTGCTTGGAGAAAGTTGGGCTAAGGGACTTCACCCGGTAGGGCCCAGGGCTGAGGTCTCTTTGCTGCCCGGACGGTGGACACTGGCGCTTTAAGACGCTCTGACCCCCCACGGCATCCAGGCGGGGCGGGGACAGTGCCGGGCGCCACCGCCACTAGCAGGAGGCACAGTTCGGGGGAGGTAGAGCTAAGTGTCCTGCCCACCACCATGCTGACCGCGCTCGCCCCGCCAGCCCTTCCTGGGCTCTCCAGGCGGCCGCCAGCCCCTACGCGGCGTCAGGATTCGTCCGGTTCGTCCGGCTCCTACCACACAGCTCCGGGCTCTCCGGAGTCCCCGGACGTCGGGCCGGACGCAGAAGGCCAGGGGACTTGGCTCTGGGTGGCCCCTGGGCGGGGGGCGGGCGCGCAGCCTGTCCTGTCCGTCAGCGCCCAGAATAGCCTCCAGCAGCACTGGTCCGGCTCGGGTTTCCCGCGAGGCCCGGGCTCCGGCCCGCAGCCGCCTCGGCCGCAGCTGCGCATGCTGCCGTCGGGGGAGATGGAAGTCATCTTCGGCGCGGGGCCTCTGTTCAGCCGCTCGGACGACGCCGAGGGTCTGGAGGAGCCGCAGCTCACGGCGCCGGCCTTCAGCAGCCCCTGGCTGCCCGGGTCGGCGTCGCCTGCCTCGGTGTCGCCGCCTCCACCGCCTCCGGCCCCCGACCGGGGGGTCTCTCGCTGGGCCACCTACCTGGAGCTGCCGCCCCGCGGGCCGAGCCCCGCCGTCTCGGGCCAGTACGAGTGCGTGGAGGTGGCCCTGGAGGAGGAGCGCGCGGCGCCCGCGCGACCCCGCACGGTCCCGAAGCGTCAGATCGAGCTGCGTCCCCGGCCCCGGAGTCCCCCGCAGGACCGTCGCGCGCCGCCGCCGCCGTCACCGCCGCAGCAGCCTCCGCGTCCCCGGCTGCTCCTGCGCACCGGCTCCCTGGACGAGTCTCTGAGCCGCTTGCAGGCCGCCGCGGGCATCGTGCAGACGGCGCTGGCCAGGAAGCTGGGCTCCGCGGTGCCGGCCCCCGGCAACGTCACTGTCGGGTCCTCGGGGAAGCCAGAACCCACGAGGGACCCGCAGGAGACGGCACGCAGCACTCGCGCGGTGCGGGACGAGGCCACGTCTCGGCCACCCCGCCCACACGACAGCTCGGTCCCCGCCAGAGCCCCTCGGCCTTGGCCCAGCCTCCGAGAGCGAGCGATTCGGCGGGACAGGCCGGCGCCCGGCGGGACCGAGCCGCTGGGCCCGGTGAGTTCGAGCGTCTTTCTGCAGACGGAGGAGAAGGTCCAGCCGGCTCACCAACAACAGGAACCCAAGACCCAGCCGCACCCCCGCGAGACGCCCGATCGCACCGTCCCGAGGGCGCCGAGTCCCCCTTTCCACACCAGAAGCTCCCGGGTGGCTCCCGGGAGGCTCGCGAGGCCGAGGAGGAGCCCGTCCCCTCCGCGGCAGGCGCCCGACGGGGCCGCGCGGGGTCGCTGCGCGTCCCCCGCCCAGAACCTCTCGAGACCTCCCAGAACCGTCTGGAGAGTGAGCGGCCCGTCCTGCCCCGAAGCGTCGTCCTCTGAGTGGGGAGATGGGAACGAGGCCGTCGAGGAAGCCCTGAGCCCAAGGAGCCCTTCCCCGCCACCCCTCCCCCAGCGGACTCCGGGTGTCATCAGAGTGGGGAACCCAGGGCTGGAGACCCCTTCTCCGTGGAAGGTTTCGCCTTCGACGGGCGGGGACGCCACGGGGCCGGGCAGGGACCCGTCCCCGCCAGCCCTGCTCTCCGGGGAGTCACCCGAGCATCCCACCGGCACGAGCATCCCGCCGCCCCGAGAGAGGTCCCGGGGTCCGACCGCGCAGGGCCCGCCGACGGCAGCCACGCGTCAGGACGCCGCGAACGGCCTCGCCCGGGAGGCGGGGCCGCCCACACCGCCGGCGCCCGGGACCCCCGAACTCGCGGAGGAGGCGGCGCAGCGTCCGCTCACGACGGGAAACGCGAACGCAGCCCACGGAGCCCGGCGTCGGCCCCCGGAGCCGCCCGGAAGTCACCCCCCAAGCGTCCCGAACGACGAGGACGATGCGTGCCCAGAGGCTCCGGCCGCGGGAGACGCGGCTTCCGAGCGCCCGCGCGTGACCGTCCCGCGTCCTCGGGACGTGCGCAAGATGGTGAAGACCACCTACGCGCCGAGCTTTCCCGCCGCGGGAGCCCCGGGCCGCCGCGGGCTCCCCGCGCCCCCGCCGCCTGACCCGGTCCGCGGGGAGGAGGGCGACGCTGCGTCCCAAGCCCCCGAGCTCCCGGCGCCGGAGTCGCCCGCCCCGGCCCACTACATGTCCGTCTTCCTCAAGGACTTCCTGCCGGTCGTGCCTCACCCCTACGAGTCCCCAGAGCCCTCACTCCACGCGAGCCCTCCGGACGCCCCCCAGACCAGCGGCGTCCCGAGGCGGAGAGCGGAGAACAGCACCGCCAAGCCCTTCGCGCGCAGCGAGATCCGCCTGCCCGGCGCCCTCGCCCGGAGCCGGCCGCCGCGGGAGGAAACGGCGGGCGTCCGAGGAGGACACAGCCCCGCGGCAGAAAAGCCGGACACGGAGGAGGCCCCTCTCGGGGTCCCGGACCTCGAGGGTCGGACCAGCCCCGCAGGAGGCGCTCGCGCCTCCACCCAGAGGCCCCCTTCGGGATCAGCAGGGACCCAGCCCCTTCCTCGCCCCGGCTCGCCCCAGGCACGACGCCCCAGCTCCAGCCTCGTCGGGGCAGCACCCGAATCGGAGTCGGAGGCACCCCTCGCGGCTCCTGCCACCGTGGTCCCGGCGCCCCAGCCCCGGGAGCCGCCGGCGACGGCGGGCAGGACGGCCGCACCCCTGCCCCGAGCTGCCTCCGCGCCTCCCACCGAGCGAGCCCCTCCCGCATCCCCCCTTGGCATGGCGCGGAGGCCCCCAGGAGCCGCGCCGCCGCCGCCGCCGCCCGGGAAGATTCTCGTAGACCCGCAGAGCGGTCGCTATTACCTCGTGGAGGCTCCGCGGCAGCCCAGGCTGCGGCTACTCTTCGACCCCGAAAGCGGGCAGTACGTGGAAGTGCTGCTGCCGCCCTCGCCCTCTCTCCCCCGGCCACCACCACGACAGGCCTACTCCCCGCCGGCCCCGGGGCCCGGCCTCTACCCGCCAGCCTACGGGCCAATCCCCGGCTCCTCGCTGTCGCCGCCGTCCCCTAACCTGCCACCCCTTGGCAGCCTCCAGCCACCCTGGGCCCCCGAGGCTGGTGCACTGGAGGGGATGTACTACGTGCCCTGGAGCGGGACCCCCAGTCCGGCTCCTCCACCGATGCTCTTCTGTGCCCCGGCCTCCAGCTGCGGTCCCATCCAGTCCAGCAAGGGTTCGGTGTTTCCTTTGTGAAGCCTCAGGTCCCGATCCCCGTTGGAGTTGTGTACCCTAGAAGGCTTTGGAAGTCCTGGTTCCCAGTCTTTTAATATATATTTTTTTCCCCTCCAGTCAACTCTTTGGCTAGTTCCAGCCAGTCCACCAAACCAGAAGTGACCTTAAGAGACTGTGTCTGCTACCTGGGCTGATAGTGCCTGACTGCCTCCACCACCACCACCCCCAAAACGTGGATCCCTTTCCCAAACCTTCCCAGGGTGTGATGTATTTGTGTATGTGTGTAAGCAGGCAAGCAAGTATGTCAAAATGAGACCACTTAAGAAATGTCGAGGGCGGGGTGGGGGGTGTCCCCAGAGTAGCAGCCAAGGGCTGCCTGTGGTGCTGCTGCTGCTGGTGGTGGTGGTTGAGCTGTTTGTTATCTCCCTAACCCCGGGCCCAGTTGAGTGGAGCAAGACAGTGTTTGCTGCAGAGATGGAGGGGATGGATGACAGCCATCAGATCTGGATTTGAGCCTTGTCCCAGGAGGTTACAGGAAGAAGGCAGTGTGACACACACACCCCAAAGCCAGCTGGGGGGCTCAGAGTGGCGGCTTTGAGGACAGTAAATGGGGGTGGAGCATCGATGTCGTTTAAGGAGATGCGGAGGTGTACAGACAGAGTGGGATGGCCCAGGATTGCCGTGGTCCCTGCGCAGACAGCCAAAGGGACAGAAAGGCCTGCAGAAGAGGTCTAGGAAGCAAGGAAGGGGGGGAGTGACATTATTCTTTGGGCTTTCAGTTTTCTGGGGGTGGCCAAGGACAAGTGGGCAAGTGGTAAATTAAAGACCATCGAGTGATCAGCAAACACTTCTCTCGGCTGGCCGTTCTTGAAGACTGACAGGGCAAGAATCTAGAAAAACAAATTAGATTTCGGGAACTGTGGTTGTTTAAGCAGGATGGAGGGGCTTTATAAAATGGTGTGACCACAGCCCACAGTCCACGGCGTGGAGCCCAGCTCCTCCTCAAGCCCCCAGTGCCTGTCTTCTGTAGACCCTCGGGAGTGAGCTGAGCTAGGTCTTCTCGAAGCTGTCCCCATCCCACCAGAGGGCCCTGACACTTAGCTGGTTCCATTATCCGTGCAAAGACAACAGTGCCCACACAGGGACTGACCCTTCATGCTGCTCACAGCACAAGAAAGACCCTAAACCCATGATCCACCTGCCCTGAGCCGGGGGTAAACCGAGTACCGTCTCTGTGAGGTGGGTGTTATCTCGGTGTAGATTTGGGCCTAAAATGACTGAACCTTGCTGGAGGGCTGTTTGGGGAGGGACGTTCCCACTAGAAGCAGGGTGTGGTTCCAAGGCTATGCAGCCAAGATCTCCTGGACCCTCTATACACCAGGAGCCTTGCCCTAGACTGGAAACCAGCCAGAATACTGAGTCAGAATGACCTGGATGTCTCTACCACAGACGCTGATCCCAATGGCATAGAGGGACCAGGCTGCCATTCTTGCCCTGGTGGGCAATAAATGGCTGACCATGGAGAGTCACGGTGACTGAAATAATAACTAGTATATAATCCTTATTTCCTGCTGCCCCCTTAAAAAACAAACAAACAAACAAACCTGGAATGGTGATACCCAATACGTGGGAGGCAGAGGCAGGTGGATATCTTTGAGTTCTTGATCTACAGAGTCAGAGCTGTCTCCAAAAAAAAGCGATATAAATAAATAACACTTAAAATATTTATTTTTATTTTATGAGTGTTTGCGCCACATGCATGCCTGAGGCCGGCCGTGAAGCCCGAAAGAGGACATTGAATCCCCTAAAGAATGGTGTGAACCAGCATGTGAGTGACAGAAACTGAACCCAGGCCCTCAGCAAAAGGAGAGTTTGTTCTTAACCACTGAGCTATTTTCAGATTGCTGCCTCCTTTTTTTTTTCTTTTTTTTTTTTTCTTTCAAGACAGGGTTTTTCTGTGCGACAGCCCCTGCTGTCCTGGAACTCACTTTGTAGACCAGATTGGTGTCGAACTCAGAGATTCACCTGCCTCTGCCTCCCGAGTGCTGGGACTGAAGGTGTGTGCCACCACACCCAGCTGGCTTGCTACCTCTTAAGCATCCCCCATGAAACCCTTCCGTGCCCTGCCCTGGCCCGGATGAAGGGGACCCTAGGGCTGGAGAAGGAGACCATCCATGGCCTTACATACACATACCGTGCTCACCGAGACTCAATCAGTTTGCCTTAGGTTGGCAACTGAAACCATGGCCCCATTCCTCCTGGCAGCTGAGTGACCAGCGGGCGTTGGGGACTACTTACTGTCCCCAACACGGCTCCTCCAAGCAGGAGGATCTGTGCCTCCTCTCTGAGCTCCAGCATCCTCTGCAGCAGAAGAAAGGTGACCAGCCGCCTCACCCCACAGGATGTTCAGCAGCCCCTACCACTTGATCAGGTCACAGTGGGTGAGGTCCATCAGCCCCCACGTGTCTTCACCCCCCAACCCCCCTGTCTGTGAAACGGGGCTGAGTCGGCTGGAACCAGGGTCCCGCTGTGGAAACTGCAGACGTGGCATCTCCGGGGCCCGTGAGGTGTCAGCTCCCTATTGGCCTGAGCCGCAGATAATTCGAGTGCGCGCGTCTGCTACCCCGACCACAGTGCCTGCATGCTCCATGAAGTAACTTCAGAGGCCATGAGGCTGCCCCTGCCGTTGCTGCTAGTGTTTGGGTGCAAGGCTATCCTGGGAAGCCTTGGGGATAATAAGGCCTCCCTCTCAGCTACCGCTCCAGTGTTGGATGATGAAGAGAAGTACGCCTCTTACATGCCTGATCACCTGCGCTGTGATGCCTGCCGGGCCGTGGCCTACCAAGTAAGTTCCCCCTGTCCCTCAGCAGCAGCCCTTAGGCCACTCTGCCACCATTGGCCTTTAATCCCCCAAGCAGTAACCTGCCCCCACCCCATGGCATCTTCCAGCCCCCTTTGTTGGAATCGCCGTGCCTCAGTTTACCCACTTGCCTGGTGACCTAAGAACAGGCGATCGAAGGTGGTCCGCGTCTTGTCTCGTCACACCAGGGGACCGTTCATCCTCTTAGATTCCTCATCTGTACCCCTTTGCTTCTCAACACCCTCCTCCCCAGGCCCTGGCGATGCCTTTACTTCACGAATATTGGGTGTTATGTGTAGCTATGTGAAGCCACCACGCTCATCCCTCCCAAGCAGCGTGCCTGTGTGATCCTGTTTCCATATGTTCCCAGGGTGGGTGAACACGTGTGTTATTAAAGACTGGTCTCTGGTTATTTTGTTCATCATCATTATTACTGGCTTCCCTTGTTTAAAAAATACCAAGTGTGCTCTGAAAAAAAAGGTCTTTCCTCCCCTTCCCCCAGAAAAGAAGGTCCTGCCTGAACTGGCCCAGGCCAGCTTTGGGACTTAGAGAGGGGGAGGCCCCTGCAGCCTGACTCACAGGTGCTTCCGGCTGGGCAACAGCGCCCTTGCCACCTCAGTCTCCCCAGAGACTTGGGTGTCTGCCCTTCCCTCCTCCTCCTCACAACTGACGGGCAGTCCCAAAGCCCTGGCTCTCAGCACCTCCTCCTCCTAGATGGGGCAACATCTGGAAAAAGCAGAGGCTAAGTCTCCAGACTCCAGCGACTTGCAGGAGTTGAGCGAGTCGATATACACGGATGTCCTGGACCGGACCTGCTCTCAGAAATGGCAATCGTGAGTTGCCAAGGCCCCTGACGCGCCCGCCTTCTTTAGGGGAAGGGCTGGTGGGTACAGACCTCCCTCCTAGCAATGACATCACACGTCTGTTCCAAGAAGGCCCTCCCGCCCCAAGGGAGGAGGTTGGGTGGGTCGAAATCTGGGGGCTTAGGGCTACTCTTGGGAGCGTGTAGGAGTACAGATGGCTACAGAAAGGTCACCGTGAGATCCGGGATCTTGGATGTAACCTTGTCTGAGCTCAGCAAATGTCTGGTATACCTAGACTAGAAGCAAGTCCCTCCCTGGCCTCTATTGATCCTATACCCCTTGCCTCCCACGGCCATCAGCTATGGCGTCCAGGAAGTGAACCAGATGAAACGTCTCGTGGGCCCAGGACTAAGCAAGGGGACAGAGGCACCCATCAGCGTGATGATTACTGGGGGCCCCTGGCCCAATAGGTAATGACAAGGGTGGGGTCAGGAGTCCCTGAGTCCTGGTTTGATCACCCCCCTCCCCTGCCAATGTCCCCGTGAGTACAGTACAGTTCAAGGTGCCCATTGCTCCCCTAGGCTCTCCAGGACGTGTTTCCAGTATCTGGGAGAGTTTGAAGAAGACCAGATCTATGAAGCCTACCGCCAAGGTCATGAGACCCTGGAGGCGCTGCTGTGTGGGGGCCCTCGGGGGTCCTGCTCACCTGAGAGCCCGAGAGAAGAGCTTTAGTGCCGGTGGGGACACCTGTGGGTCTTCTCTCTCTTTTTGTAATTAATGGTCATTTGGAGACAGGGTCTCATCACGCAGCACCGGCTGACCTTGAACTTGTCCTCCTGTGTCAGCCTGGAAAGCGCTGCCTTAACTGTCCCAAGCCTTCCCACGCTTAACCCTTCCTCTTCTTTCAGCGGTGATGGGGAGGGGCCAGGGAAGCCAGTCCATCTTCTTCCTCCATCCCTCGCCGGGGCACTGGGGGTTGGGGACCAATAAGGCCTTCTACTTTCAAATAAAGCTCAGTGACCTCGAATCCTCTGTGAAGGGGCTTTGGGGGGGGGACGGGATAGTGGGAGACACCGGCGTCTCTGTTGACGCCAAATGCTGATCACCTTACATGGCTGATCTGGAAGGATCCAGACTGAACTGGGCCACGAGAAGGTTTGGGGGGACGGGGGCGAAAGATCCTAAGAGAGGCAAGACGTGAGGACCAGGAGCCAAGAGGGTTAGACCAAGAAGAGTCAAGGACCAAGAGGACACGTGGCCAAAATGGCAGATTTACGGAGGGCTGAGAATCTGGGGGCAGAGAAGCCCAGCCCAGCCCCTGGGTTGGAAAGGTTTAGGGTAGGGGGTGGAGAGGAGTACCCAGGTACTGAGTGATCCCCGGCAGGGTTCCTTTGGGACCTGGCAAGCAAAAACAGAGTGAAGTCTGGGCTGGGAGGGGCTTCAGACTTCGAAGGTAGGAACAGTGTTGGCTGCAGGAGGAACTGGGGTGTCTCGTGCACGCCTGCACATTTAGGTCCTGGGTGTTAGTTTCTGTTGCTGCAGCAGCCTGCCTCGGCCACCAAAGCATCACCCGTCATCATCACCCGTCGCCAGGTGCCTTTCCGGACGTGTGCACCCCTTAAAACTGCCCGACGCAGCACAGCTCGCCCTCTCGTCCCGTGTGTGTGTGTCTCTCTCTCTCTGCCTTCTTTCTTTTTTTTTTTTTAATAATTTATTTTTATTGCCGGGCGTTGGTGGCGCACGCCTTTAGTCCCAGCGCTCGGGAGGCAGAGAAGCAGGCGGATCTCTGTGAGTTCGAGGCCAGCCTGGCCTACAGAGCAAGTGCCAGGACAGCTTCCAAGGTTACTCAGAGGAACCTTGTCTTGAAGGAAAAAAAATTATTTTTATTTTATGTACACTGGTGTATTGCCTGCATGTATGTCTGTGTGAGAGTGTTTGATCCCCTCGGGGAACTGGAGTTCACACACAGTTGTGAGCGCTGCCGTGTTGGTGTTCCAGGTTCTTTGGAAGCTCAGGCAGCTTCCACTCTTAACTGCTGAGCCATCTCTCCAGCCCTGTTCTTTCCTCTATGACTTCTCTTATGTCTCTTGCCTCTCTTGTTTCTTGCCCCTCTTCTCCGCTGTCTGTATGCCTGCCTCTTTTCATGCCTGCACTCCAGGGAAGCCTTACACTCTCCCACTCGCCAATAAGCCTTCTTTATTTATTGTGTATACAGCCTTCTGCCTGCAGGCCAGCAGAGGGCACCAGATCTCATTCAAGGTGGTTGTGAGCCATCATGTGGTTGCCAGGAATTGAACTCAGGACCTCTGGAAGAACAGTCAGTGTTCCTAACCGCTGAGCCATCTTTCCAGCCCCTGCCAATAAACCTCTTGCACTAACTGTTTCCAGTGGCTAGTGGCGTGTTTTATTTATCATTACCCCGGGGACTGCTCTGGATCCCCAGTATCACACTATGTGGGTTCATTCCTTAAGGAGTGAAAACACAGCCGCTTCCTCTTGGATCAATCTGACCAAGACTGAGCCCAAATTTGAATCCTCTGTTTCTCTTCCCTTCCCTTCCAACAGTCCACACACAGTCTGGTTTCTGGTCTGTCTGTAATCTATCTGTTGTGTGTGTCCCTAACAGGGCTTGACTCTGAGTTTATTGTTTGTTTTGAGACAGCCCCGGCTATTCTAAACCTCACCAAGATCCACCTGCCTCTGCTCCCCAAGTGCTAGAATTAAAGCAGGGCTTCACTAAACTGGGCGGAGAATGAGGGATTCCTTACAGAAATCTTTTAAGTTTTACACAGGAGAGTCACTTTTACTGCTTCCAACTGACCCAGACTAGTAAATAAAAGTTGCAGATAGATGTTATCAGTCTATCGTGAATTGTTTGCAAGTGTTAGGAATAAAGCAGGCATGTGGGGAACCTTGGTGGATTCCACAGGGGACAAGGGACAAACAAGTAGAAAGAGCTTAAATGAGAAATTTTATTAGGAAGGGAAGGGAGAAGGGGGAGAGAAGAGAAAGAGAGGGAGAGAGGGAGAGAGATGAGGGAGGCCAGAAAAATCCTGTTTTTCCCTTCAGAGGAAGGGGATGGGGGAAGCAGTTATGGGCGGGTTTTTTGTTTTTTTGTTTTGTTTTGTTTTGTTTTTATGAGACAGGGTTTCTCTGTATGCCGGTTTTCTTTTAAAAGGGTCCTTTGCACCTGCCATGTAGAAGCCATGGCCATGGAACGCTGGGCTGACCAGGGTACCGCCTAAGTGCATTCTGCCAGGAGACAGGGGCAGGCTGGCACAGTGCCTGAATCCTTACAGCAAGGTGTTTGGTGGCCATTGGTTTTGAGGTTCCTTCTAACCTATTTTCAGTAAATAATTACCACCACAAACACGTACACACATACATTATTCTAGGTCGGGCATTGATGGGTATATAATTTTAAGATTAAAGGCATGCATTGGTTTGGATTGTAAAAGCTGATTGCATGGGAAATCCAAGGCAAGTAAGGTTCGTTACAGTGTTCCCTAAAGGTGGTTAAGCTTAAGCAGGCTGAGCCACCACACAGTAGGACAGCAGGCTGGCCTCGAACTCACAGAGATCCACCTGCCTCTGCCTCTCCCAAGTGCTGAGATTAAAGTTGTGTGCCACCACCACACCTGTATCAAAATAGGCGCTTAAAAATTTTAAAATGAATAAAAGCGGATTCATAGCTAGCTGTGGTGATACATGCTTTTAGTGTTAGGGCTGAAAAGGCAGAAGCAGGTGGATCTCTGTGAGTTCAAGGACAGCTATTGTTACATGGTGAGACTCTATCTCAATAAATAAAAATTTAAGAGTGTACTCAGGAGGACACTTCAGGATAATTTTATTAGAGTTGAAGAGAAAAACAGGGCAGAGGAGTGGTAAATCTCAGCAGGTGCTGCTGGGGGAGGTGGAGGAGAGGAAGAAAGAGCCATAACTTTGAAGTCAGGGCACAAGAAAGCAGGTTATCGCCAACGAAGGTTTGCAAGCATTTACAAAGGGGAGCAGGGCCACACAGCGGAAGCAGACTTCTCCAGAAGTCGAACTGTTCTTTAATCAGAACAACTGAAATGCTGCAGTCTGGCGTCCGAGCATCATCTCGTGTGTGGGATCTTGGGCTTTAATAAGATTGTGAAGGGGGGAGAAAGAGTCCATCTGTAGGGCAGCTCCCCTGCCGTCTGGAGGTGGTGGATGCCTGGCGGGTCTGACCTGTCATCTCCTTATGGGCCACTTGACCCGGTAAATCAGGTCAACTCTCCCGCTCAGAGCTTCAGTAACACCTGAGGCTTGTAAGTAATTAACCCTTCAGGGAAAGCAAGAGAAGGCTTTCAGCTAGACTCCAAAATGGGGAGGGGCTGTAATTTTCTGACTTAGGCCTCCGCAAAGCAGGCAGGCTCTATGGCAGAGGCTCTGCGAGTGGTTGATCGGGGAAGCTGGTTTCTGGGAAGGACACTGTTTCATGAAGGGGGTGATTACTCCTCCGACTCTTTAGCGTGGTCTTAGTCTTCCTGAGGGGTGGGATCTTGGCGAGGTGACTGACAGGCCCAGCTGGATTGACTCAGTGTGTGTACACATGCATAAGTTGGAGAACGATTTTCTGGAGTCAGCTTTCCTTCTACCTTGTGGATGCAAGGGATCAAATCCAGCAGCAAATGGCCCCAACCCCCCAATTAACTTTTTTTATTTTTTATTTTTTATTTTTTTGGTTTTTCGAGACAGGGTTTCTCTGTATAGTCCTGGCTGTCCTGGAACTCTCTCTGTAGACGAGGCTGGCCTCAAACTCACAGAGATCTGATGGGAAATGTCCTTCTGCATATGTGTTTCTCTTATTGGTTGATGAATAAAACACTGATTGGCCAGTAGTCAGGCAGGAGGTATAAGTGGGGTTACTAGACAAGGAAAATTCTGGGGAGAGGAAGGCAGAGAGAAGCTGGGAGGGAGACACCATGCTGCTGAGGAAGTAACATGCCGGAGAACAGGTAATCCGCAGCCCCGTGGCAATGCATAGTTTAATAGAAATGGGTTAATAATTAAGAGAGAGCTAGGCCGGGCGTTGGTGGCACACGCCTTTAATCCCAGCACTCGGGAGGCAGAGGCAGGCGGATCTCTGTGAGTTCGAGGCCAGCCTGGTCTACAGAGCGAGTGCCAGGACAGCCTCCGAAACTACACAGAGAAACCCTGTCTCGAAAAAAAAAAAAAAGAGAGAGCTAGATAGCAAGAAGCTTGAGCCGTTGGCCAAACAGTTCTAATTAATATGGCCTCAGTGTGTTTATTTGGGGATGAAGGGTGGTAGGACCAGGCGGGACCCAAACTCGGTTTGCAGAGATCCGCCTGCCTCTGCCTCCTGAGTGCTGGGATTAAAGGCATGCGTGAGCCACCAACGGGCCCATCTTCTCCCCCACCCCCGAGGAAACTCTTATAAAAGAAATCATCTCAGCCGGGCATTGGTGGCGCACCCCTTTAATCCCAGCACTTGGGAGGCAGAGGCAGGCAGATCTCTGTGAGTTCGAGGCCAGCCTGGTCTACAAGAGCTAGTTCCAGGACAGTCTCCAAAAGCCACAGAGAAACCCTGTCTCGAAAAACCAAAAAAAAAAAAAAAAAATCATCTCATTGGGGCTTGCTTATGGTCTCAGAGGGTCCTGGCTGGTTTTGTGTGTCAACTTGACACAAACTGGAGTCATCAGAGAGGAAGGAGTCTCCGATGAGAAAATGCCTCCATGAGATCCAGCTGTAAGGCATTTTCTCAATTAGTGACCAATGGGGGAGGGCCCAGACCATGGTGGGTGGCATCTCTGGTCCTGGGTTCTATAAGAAGGTGGACTGAGCAAGCCTTGGTAAGCAACTCCCATCCATGGCCTCTGCATCAGCTCCTGCCTCCAGGATCCTGCCCTGTTTGGGTTCCTGTCCTGACTTCCTTCAGTGATGAACAGCCATGCTGAAGTGTAAAACAAATAAACCCTTCCCTCTCCAACTTTCCTTTGGTCATGGTGTTTTGTCACAGTAATGGTAACTCAACTAGGACAGTCCATCATCATTATGGCAGGAAGCAGGTGGGCGTGACACCAGAGTGGTAGCTGAGAGCTTTACATCCTGTGGGCTTGTGAGAGACTCAGAGCCCACCACCACTGACACGCCTCCTCCAACAAAGCCACACCTTTTTAAAATTAATTTTTATTTAAATTAAAAACTATCTCATTGGTCGGGCGTTGGTGGAGCACACCTTTAATCCCAGCACTGGGGAGGCAGAGGCAGGCGGATCTCTGTGAGTTCAAGGCCAGCCTGGTCTGCAGAGCGAGTTCCAGGACAGCCTCCAAAGCCACAGAGAAATCCTGTCTCGAAAAACCAAAAAGAAAAAACTATCTCATTTTACATAGCAATCCCAGTTCCCTCTCCCTCCTGTTCTCCCATCCCACCCCCCATCCACACCCCAGGGAGGATGATGCCTCCCATAGGGGAATCATCAAAATCTGTCACATCATTTGGGACAGGACCTAGGCCCTCCCCTGTGTATCTGGGCTGCATAGATAAACAGATTCCCTCCATAGGAAATGGGCTCCCAAAGTCCATTCACGTACTAGGGATAAATACTGGTTCCACTGCCAGAGGCCCCATAGACTTCCCAGGACCCCCAGCTAATACCCAAAGCCACACCTTTTTAGCCCAGTGACTGAACATTCAATATATGAGCCTAGGGGAAGCCATTTGTATTCAAAACACCAGAGAAAGAAGAGAGAGGAAAGTGAGGGAGAGGAGAGACAGAGAGGGACTGGGCATGGTTTGGGAAACCTCAAAGCCCACCCACCGTGACACACCTCATCCAACAAGTCGCACATCCCAATCCTTCCCAAACAGTTCCATTCCCTGGCCTCTAAGCATCCAAACGTATGTGCCTTATGGGGACCATTGTCATTCAACCACCACACAGGGTGTATTAATCAGGATCTCTGCAGAAATAGTGCTTATAAAATTAATATCTGTCTGTCTCTCTGTCTAGACAGGGCATATTGGAATGGCTTGCAGGTTGTGGCTAGTCCAACAATGACTGTCTACCAAAGGACGGTCCAAGAATCCAGTAGTTGTCCGGGTGTATGGATGTCTCAGGTGGTCTTCAGTATCTGTCAGAGCCCCAAAGAAGCACGCTGCAATGCCGGGGGGAATGGACTTGCCGGTGACAGCAAAGGCAGGGGTGGGGGTGGGGTGGGAAGATGGGGGTGGGGGCAAAGCTTTCTTCTTCCTTCACATAGGCAGCTAGGAGAAGGTGGGGCCCAGATTAAAGGCGGGTCTCCCCACCTCAGAAGATCCAGAATAAAAGTGGGTCTTCCCAGGCTGGAGAGATGGCCCAGAGGTTAAGAGCACTGACTAACTGCTCTTCCAGGGGTGTTCAATTCCCAGCAACCACAGGGTGGCTCACAACCATCTACAATTCAATCTGGTGCCCTATTCTGGCATGTAGGCAGAACATTGTGTATGTAATAAATTAATAAATTTTTTTAAAAAGGTGGGTCTTCCCACTTCAAACGATGTAATTAGGAAAAATTCCGGGGCTGAAGCGGAGCACAGGCTGCTCTTCCAAGAGGTCCTGAGTTCAATTTCCAGAACAGCTCATAACTGTCTGTCTCCAGTTCCAGGGGATCTGACACCCTCACACAGATATACATGCAGGCCAAACGGTAACACACATTAAAAAAAGAAAAGAAAAGAAAGAAAAACTCCCTCACAGGTATACCTAGCCACTTGAGTTTTAGCTAATTCCATGTGTAGTCAAGTTGCCCATCAAGAACAGCCATCACAGCCGGGCGGTGGTGGCGCACACCTTTAATCCCAGCACTCGGGAGGCAGAGGCAGGCGGATCTCTGTGAGTTTGAGGCCAGGCTGGACCGACAGCCTCCAAAACAGAGAAACCCTGTCTCGTAAAAAAATTTTAAAAAAGAAGAAAATAAAAGAACAGCCATCACACCGGGTCTATTCTTGGCCAGCCTGAAACGCACTATGTAAACATTAATGCCTCCAGAGTGTGCTGGGATTAAAGGAATATGTCACCATGCCAGCTAGTCTTGGACTACTAACCCTTGAGAATAAACAATAGGTAATGTTCTAAATCTTCTGAGCACATCAGAATGTCAAGTCTCCACCCCAGGCCTGAGGTATTCTATTCTTAAGCAGTAGCCTTAAGGAGCAGTAAGTGACAAAACTGATTTTTATCTCCCTAGTATTGCCAGAGAAACAGAAGGTGGGATCCAAAGCTCACCACAGGCAGGTGGTCTACACTACCTAACAGTGTTTTATTAAAGACTTATCACTGTTGGAGGGCTAATGTCATGGCCCATGCCCTGGGACACATTCTCAAGCCTTGTAATGCACACGTCCTGGTGAGGTTTGGGCTCCATTGAGCAATGATTGAAGAAGGGGAGGGGGTAGGGGCTGCCTTTCTGCCACCTGAGGAGCACTGGGTGGAGCTGCAGAGGTCCAACAGGTCAGACCACTTTGAGAACCTCAGAGCAGGAACCAGGAGTGAGAGGAGTAGATCCACCACAGAGGAAAAGCCTAGAGCTGGAAAGGGAACTGCGTTCAAGACAGCCATGAAGCTACTGCCCAGCTGGAGAGCCGTGCTGCCCGTGGGCCCCCAGCCTGGCCTGTGCCGCTGTATCCCAGCTTGGCCTTGGGCACAGCAACCCAGAAGTAGGTAGCCCCAGGGGTGGTTGGGACTAAGGGTAACCAGAGGGGAGCAGGTGCTGATCCCAGACCCAGCTCCTGCCAACTGAAATCAGCCCCTGGGTCTTCATGACTGCCTCGGCCAGACCAGCGCTCTTTGAGCTCTTAGCCTAGGCCAGTTAGGAAGAGATATGGGCACAAGTGAACATAGAGACAGAGACATGGAATGCTTAGAAAGAACGGCCCCGCCGGGCGTTGGTGGCGCAAGTCTTTAATCCCAGCACTTGGAAGGCAGAGTCAGGCCGATCTCTGTGAGTTCGAGGCCAGCCTGGTCTACAAGAGCTAGTTCCAGGACAGTCTCCAAAGCCACAGAGAAACCCTGTCTCGAAAAACCAAAAAAAAGAAAAAGAAAGAACGGCCCCATGTTCAATTTAATGTTCTGCTATTTTTTATTTTAGCCCCTTTGAGATAGTTGGGTTTTGTTTGTTTGTTTATTTTTGGTTGGTTATTTTGTTTGGTTTGGTTTGGTTTTTCAAGACAGGGTTTCTCTGTGTAGCCCTGGCTGTCCTGGAACTCGCTCTGTAGATCAGGCTGGCCTTGAACTCACAGAGATCCGCCTGCCTCTCAAGTGCTGGGATTAAAGGCTGGCCTCAGCCGGGCGTTGGTGGCACACGCCTTTAATCCCAGCACTCGGGAGGCAGAGGCAGGCGGATCTCTGTGAGTTCGAGACCAGCCTGGACTACCAAGCGAGTTCCAGGACAGCCTTCAAAGCCACAGAGAAACCCTGTCTCGAAAAAACCATAAAAAAAAAGGCTGGCCTCAAACTTGCAGAAATTTGCCTGCCTCTGCCTCTTCCTCCGAAGAGCTGAGTTTTAAAGGCATGAGCTACCAAGATAGGGTCTTATGTAGCCAAGGACATTTGAGGCTGGTCTTGAATTCCCTATCTTCTTTCCCGAGCCTCCCTCATGCTGGGATTACAGGTATGTGTGGTCATACCCAGCTTTTCTGTTATTTTAATAAATTATATTTAGTGTGTGTGTGCTTGAGCATGTGCAATGATGTATGTGTGGTGAGGACATCTTGTGGGAGTCAATTGTTTTTTAGCATGTGGGTCCTGGAGAGAGGACAGAACTCAGGTCCTCAGGCTTAGCAGCAAGTGCCTTTTCCTGCTGAGTCATCTTGCCAGCCCCCCAACCTCTATTTATTATTTGTGTGTGTGTGTGTGTGTATGTCTGTGTGTATCCGTGTGTGTGTATATCTGTGTCTGTGTGTGTCTGTGCTGTCTGAGTTTAGGTGTTTGTGCCAAAGGGGTACAGGTGGAGTCCAGAAGATAACCCATGGATGATGTCAGATCTCTCCCTCAACCATGTAGGTTCCAGAGGCCAAACGTGTCATTGGACTTGGTGGCAGGTGCCTTTACCTAATGAGCCATCTGGCTAGGCTTTTCTATTACTTTTCAGTCAGGATTTTGCTATGTTAGGCATTGTATCTTTAGTGTATAGCCCAGGCTTGCCCAGATGGAACATATGATACAGGCTTCAACTTGCTGTGATCTGCCTGGCCCAGCCTTCCGAGTACAGGGATTATAGGCGTTAATCACCAGACCCAACAAAATCCTCAACGGTTTTGCAACAAGAGCCCCTCTCTCGTTTTTCACAGGGTCCCATAAAAGCTCATCCTGGCTAATATGTGTGTGGGGAAATCCTCACCCAGACGCAGGCGTGGGCTACACAGGCCTCTCTGTGGATGCCCCAGGAACCATGCGTAGTGAAGGCTGGCAGGGAAGGGGGCCAAAAACTAATCCGAATTTAGCGCTGGTTTTCTGACCCTCACTTCCCCGGGTGGCTTTGGTCTTATCAGCAGTGAAAGAGTTAACACCTCGCGCGCGCCGCGCGGGGGTGGGTGGGGGCAGAAAGGGAGATGTGATATGCAAATACCGATATTGGCATTTGATTGTGCTCCCCAAAGATTAACTTCTATTAATAATTGTAGAGGGCTTTGCGAGGAGGCGGATGAGTCACGTCCACTCTTCTCTCCTTGAATGTCATCCCTGAGCGTCCCCTCTTCGCCGCCCTGTGTAGACTCTGGCCCTCCCTAGGGAAACGAGGCCAGGCTGAGATGCGGGTAAGATAGAATATTCAGAAGGTAAATGCGCCTGGATGGCCTTTTACCGCTGGAGTCGCAGTTAATACCTTACCTCTGCCCTAGTCTCCCTTTCGCAATTCGGAGCCATGGACCTGGTTACAGATTGACTTTGAACAATGTCTGATGCACGGGTAAAGTCCTCCTTGGCCTTGGGGGTAAGGCCCTTTTCTTTTCTCCTCAGAAGTGTCTCAAACCTGTGTCTCAGAAATGAGAGCTCAGGAGGAGCCCCGGAGCCCAACACAGGTGGGGAGCCCCGGACAGGGACCCCGGCAGGCAGGTGGGGGCTGGGCCTCGCTGGGAAACTTTCTAATGCACTTGACAGATAGTGCCAGTCCTGAGAACTACAAGTGGCACTGGGGGTGGAGGGGAGAAAGGAGCCTTTGGTTTTGGGGCTGGCTGGCTTGGCCTTAGGAGGTCTGTAAGGGCTCGCCCTGCTCCCCCTGTGGCACCTTCGAGGATTTCTGAGAGGTAGAGGTTGGACAGGTGGGGGTGGGGTGGGGGACTTATCCAAAGCCCAGCCCTGTCTCCCCCCTTGGGCCTTTTGGTCTGGTGCCTAAGGGCCTTCTGACTTCGGGGTGGGGGGGCTCACTGGAAGTCCTGGAGGACCAAGGGCCCTGGCAGCCAGGACAGCGCTCGCTCTCATCCCTCCACTGGGATGTGGAGTGGAGCAGTGGCCATCTGCTGGGCAGGGTGGCGGCTCTAGTCCATCCTCACGGAATCGCTGGGAGGGCCATTGTGCCTCCCTTCCGTCCAGGCGGCATAGGGCTTTGCCTGTTCAACCCACTCGGGGGTCCTGAGCCGCGGCTCTCTCTAGCCCCAGCGTGAGTCGACTTCCGCCAGGGACCAGAAGACATCGCCCTTGCCCATGGAGCCCAAGTCTGATATGTTGTACAAGATTGAGGATGTGCCACCGTGGTACCTGTGCATCCTGCTGGGCTTCCAGGTGGGTTTGCCCGAGGCCTCCCAGCCCTACGCGGCGGCGGCGGTGTCCACCCCTAGGTATCTATCCCAAACCCTACCCGGACAAAAGGTCACACTTTTTGTCCGGGCTAGAGGAAGAAACAAACCAGGTCAGCCTCGATTGTCACCAAGCAGCGGTGCCAGAGAAGGTTAAGCGGCCCCGGGGTGGAGATTTGTGAATGGCATATGACAGACAGGAAGGGGCGCATCCATGGAAGCCACAGGAATAACCTGTGGGAGACTGGGGCCCCCTGCGTGGAGGTGAGCAGTAGCTCTCTGGTAATCCCTAGCGGGTCATGCCATTTGAGTAAGCACCCGGTCGGTACGGGTCCAGGCTCAGGACACTGACCCGGGTGCGGGTTTCCACGTTGAGCATTGCGGCGGGGCCACGTCTCGAACTCTTCTCGCCCTACCTAGCATTACCTGACGTGCTTCAGCGGCACCATCGCTGTGCCCTTCCTCCTGGCCGAGGCGCTGTGTGTGGGCCGCGACCAGCACATGATCAGTCAGCTCATCGGCACCATCTTCACCTGTGTGGGTATCACCACTCTCATCCAGACTACAGTGGGCATCCGGTGAGCTGCCCCTCCCCGGCTCAAAAGAGTACGCGCACATGCAGACATGCCTTTGTGCGCTTGCTGGCGCACGGCAGGGCAGGCGCAGTCTCTCTAACCCTAACCCTAACCCTAACCCAACCTCAACCCCAACCCTAAAACCCTAACCCTCTAATCCTAACCCTAACCCCAACCAACCCTAACCCTAAC